TACAGCGACTGGCTCTTTAATTTACGACTTTACGAAATACTAAAAAAATGTGTCAATTCACGATTTTGAGGTACTTATTACGGGAAATTTAATATAATACCACTTTAAAGTACGTTTTTGATAAGTATAATACGATCGTAAAAAACGCGTCACAGTAGCCATTGAAATAACAACCATGATAATTTTTGTCGTATCGCCCTTTGCATAGAATGGGCTGCACTATACATACACACGGCATTATATTATACCAGGTGCGTCTCAAAAGTGACTCACCCCTATACCTTTTTTATTTTCTAGTGAAAAAAATGAGACTTGGTATGTTAGTTTATATGACATAAATTAGGATTGATTGACGTATTCAGTTGTTTTTGGTCACTTCCTGTTTCACCGGAAATGACTACAACTTTTGATTTTTAAATGGCACCCTCGCTATATTTTTACTTTATTCGATAGAAAATTAAACTCTGAATAGAATGATTTTGACATTTTTTGACATTTTCGCTTAAAAAAATCGTATTTTAAATTTCAATCTAGAATGCCATGGCTGTGTTAAAAACAAAAACAAAAATTTTTAATCAAGGATCCTTGGAAAAATAGATTTGATCGTCTAATGTTTTTCGTGCCTTGTCCTGGCCGGTTAAAAGATGCCCAAATGGAACAAGTGTGGCTCATGAGCATATTTAGAAAAAGCATCTTTTTACGAATAATTTGGTACCACATACTTGGTCGCTATGAACCGCATGCCATTGTATTTAGAGTGTCATTTTCTATCCAACAAAGAAAAAAAAATACCGAAGGTGTCATTTAAAAATCAAAAGTTCTAGTTATTTCCGGTGAAACAGGATGTGGTCGAAAAGCATTTATTATGTCATATACCAACATAACATCTCGTTTTTTTTATCTAAAAATAGAACAAAGTTATAGGGGTGAGCCACTTTTGAGACGCACCCGGTATATTAAAAAAAAATCCAAAAAAATTTTTTTTTTTTTGAAAATTTCAAAGTAAAATAACTCGGTTATTTTGGACTTATTTGAAAAACGGTAAGAGAGAAAAAAATATGTTTCTTTTATCAAGATCTACCAACCCTGAAAATATTTGGAGTTTTTTAAGACTCACCCTCTATATGTATAGAGTGTATGTATCGGAAAAATACTTCTACAGTGGTCTGGTAAATAAGGTCCATAACTGCTTAAAGATCAATAAATTGTTTTGTTTTTAAGTAAATTATCACCCTGTATACAGGACCGATTTATCATTAGGGAACAAAGGCAGCTCTCTAGGAACTTTTTGCTCCCTCAATTTGCACTGTTAAAATATTAAAATTAAATATTTTAACATCTATTTTTTATTAGCATACCTTTCGTAAGATAGCCCGAATTTAATTGCAATAATTATTATTGCAGTACTGTCAAGTACTGTGGTGTGAGTGAGCGGTAAAAAATGCGTCTAGCTAAAATTTACCTAGGGCTTTGTCTAGGGTACCACGTACCAATGTGCCTTAACTCTGCCTTATATATAACTGTTTTTTTTTGTTGGCATAGACGTTAAGCTATTTAAGAAGTAGGTCTAATTATAATATTGTTATGTTTACTGGGAAGAGTTTGGTTTGTCAAATTGATAGATTAAATTTTGGTGTTGACGCTCTACGTGACTATCAGAACGGAGAAAGATAACGGTCTATTTCATAGTAATGTGCAAATATTTTCAATAGATGAGAAGTGAAAAGTCTCTCGATAGTAGGTTACCGTTATTTGTCAATACTTATTCGACAATTTTTAATTTATTTAGTTGTATTCTGTTGTATATAATATACAGTTGTTTGTGTTTGATATCCAAATTAAAAAAAAATATTTAAAAATATTTAATACATTCAATATATTCATGGATAATATATTATGATATAAAAAAAATTTGGCGCCGGGAGGCACGTATAGCCGCCCATACTAAAATATGTTAATAAAAAGTTGGTAGGCAGTTCTTTTAGTTTCAAAGTAAAGGAATTTTTCCAATTTTTTTTATCTCAAAAACTGCGACTTTGACTGATTTTGATGTTATTACAAATTTTGTTGCAAATATTATTCCTAATACCTGTTGGTATGGTCGGCTAAAAATTCTTCATACATATTATATTAAGATAAAAAATCCGTATTTTTTGCATGCATTTGACTAGAGTGGACTAGAGACTATTTTTGAAAAATTAAATATGAATAATTCAATACTACCATTCGATATTTAAATGTTATAGGCTTGTTTAAGTCATATACAAGGTATAATGCCATAATCAGGGTTAGGTAACGTAGAAAATTAATTTTCTACGTGTATGTAGAAAAGTGCGTAGAAAATGTAGAATATGTAAAATATTAAGTAGAAAATGTATAAAATCTGAGAACAGGTACAAAATTAATTTTGTATATTTAAAGTCTTTTTTAGTTTAGAAGTTTCTTCCTCTGTATTTTTTTTTAATTTTATAAGTGTTAAAACTGTAATATGTGTGCGCGCGCCATCTCTCTATTCTGTGACGATACTAACTCCCTGAGGATAAGACACCGAAATCGATCTGAAGACTATTAGAATATTTTTTTCTATTTAATCCGAAGACAGTACAGAAAAGTCTGATTTTTTTCTTTTGAAGTTTTTATTGTTCCTTTTTTTTAATTTTACCATAGAAAAACTGTGGTTTCGTAAACTATATACGAGTACATATAATAATAATTATTGTAGTTTGTAGTTCTTATTTTCATTATGTTAGTTTTTGTTAAACATAAAACATACTGCAATGTTTATAGTGTCTCTAACAATACAGGTAAGTTTCCGACAGGCGATGTCCAAAAAATTCATTATCTATACAACATTAGACACTATATTATTATAAACTTTTTTCCGATTTAGCTGAAATTTTGAATGCGCGTATAAGTAATTTAAAAAAAATGAAGAAACACATTACTAAAAATTGTATTAATCAATAATAATTATGTAAAAAGTAAAAATAAATATGTAAAATATGGAAAAATTTAAAAAAAAACGATTAAAAAAGTGGCTTTGACTAGGATTCGAACCTGCCTTGCTACGGCTCCAATGTCATAGCAGCGTAAAGTCCTAACGCTTTAACCACGCACCCACCGAGGACTTGAAAGATTCTATGTAAAATTCTTACTTAAAAGATAATGTTTAGTGAAAGTACTTTTGTATTTATAAACATTTATTTAATTCTGTTTTTAGTATTTGTTCTTATAGCGGCAACATACATACATTATCTGTAAAAAATTCAACTGTCTAGCTATAACGGTTCATAAGATAGACCTTTGTGACAGACGGACGGATAGCGAAGTCTTAGTAATAGGGTTCCCGTTTTTACCCTTTGGGTACAGAACCCTAAAAATGACAGAAAATACGATATGCCTATGAATTATAATGACACAACAGTCCTGTTACGGATCCTCCAAAAGTTAATAATTAAGCTTTTTGTGGCATACTATATACTAACCATTTTTAAAATCATAAATAACGATTAGATATATCGTTATTAGTTTATTTCTTGTACCAATCGTTGTGATTAAAGTATTTGAAATCCTAATCTTAAATTGAAAACCGCCTTTCGCTAGCTACTGTAATTTTGGAGTTACGATTTTTTAAAAATTTTAACCCCCTCCCATACCCCCTTACCAACTCCCCCCAAAAACAAACGATAACTAAACGAAAATAAGTTTCATCGGCCACTGGGAACGACTTTCGCTCAGTAGTCAGCTAAGTTAGCTGCGTTTTCGTATTGTGTCTCTGTTATCATAGAACTAATAGCTGCGAAAAATTCGCTGGAACCTGTCACGAACTAAAACATGCAAAACTAAACTACGATTTAAATCTTCGTTCATATATTTTCGTTTAGTTTCGCTCAAGTGGCCGCTGATGCATTTAAAAGTATGCGAGCTGATTTTTACTAATCTTATCTTCGCTTGGCTTAGTTTAGTTTCGCTCGCAGTGGCCGACCGCCTTTAATCGCTGCGAAAAATTCGCTGGAACCTGTCTCGAACTAAAACGAGCGATACTAAGCTACGATTTGAATCTTCGTTCACATATTTTCGTTTAGTTTCGCTCAAGTGGCCGCTGATGCATTTAAAAGTATGGGAGCTGATTTTTAAAAATCTTATCTTCGCTTGGCTGAGTTTAGTTTCGCTCGCAGTGGCCGCCCGCCTTAATATTATTATTGGAATATATTCTTAAATGGATTTTGTCTATTAATCAGAAATAAAGTTTGTATACAAATAAAGGCAGGCGGCCACTGGAAGCGTAACTAAACTAAGCTAAGAATACAAAAACAAACGGTAACTAAACGAAAATAAGTTTCATCGGCCACTGGGAACGATTTTCGCTCAATAGTCAGCTAAGTTAGCTGCGTTTTCGTATTATATCTCTGCTGTCATAGAACTAATCGCTGCGAAAAATTCCCTTGTACCTGTCACGAACTAAAGGCAGGCGGCCACTGCGAGCGTAACTAAACTAAGCTAAGAATATAAAAACAAACGGTAACTAAACGAAAATAAGTTTCATCGGCCACTGGGAACGATTTTCGCTCAGTAGTCAGCTAAGTTAGCTGCGTTTTCGTATTGTGTCTCTGCTGTCATAGAACTAATCGCGCATCGTTCATATATTTTCGTTTAGTTTCGCCCAAGTGGCCGCTGATGCATTTAAAAGTATGGTAGCTGATTTTTACAAATCTTATCTTCGCTTGGCTTAGTTTAGTTTCGCTCGCAGTGGCCCGCCTAAAAAATTGCGACCTTTAATTATTGAAGCTGTACTATTTAATTTCTCCTATTGTAGTCATAAACATAAAATGGTCATAAATGTAACCGTAGGTAAATCAAACAGAAAACAAAATCTTATACACACATGTTTATTGATATGTATTTCAATCAAAAAATATTTCAAATCGCTATTAACATGGTGTGTATCATAGTTATTGAAACTGTGTTAATGCAAACTAATAATTATGTTTGAATTGTAGGCCATGGTAGCCTGTTATCCAGGATCAGGCGCACATTATGTTAAGCACGTAGACAATCCTAACAGGGATGGAAGATGTATAACGTCGATATATTACTTGAACATTGATTGGGACACCCACAGAAGCGGAGGTCTACTTAGGATATTTCCAGAGGGGTGGTGCGAAGACAAGGCAAGTAATTCTTTTAAAAAGATGTATTTCTTTATAACGTTATACAATTCTGCCTTTCTTCAACTCATTCTATTGATGAGATTATCCAAAGATTCGTATAATATATTTACAAATTATTATTCATTTAATTAATATAATTATTTAAGGCTTGGTGCGTTCTCCGCCGGTGCTGCCATCATCGAAAATTACTGTAAACAGCGAACTAAATAAATACACGCGTAAATAGCGAATACACGAAAAATTTGTTATATAATTACTCTGAAAGCGTTAGGAAGTATAATTTGTAATTCTAAAAATAAAAATAAAAAAGTAAATATTTTGATATATTCAGACCTTGATATTCAGAAGGTCCAACTTGTAATAATTTATTACTCAACTACGGTAGCGAGCATAGTTTTACGTACCGGATCTGCTAGTGGGGACATAACTGGGACCATTTAGGCTATAACGATTTTTTTTAAAGGTACATAACTAACATTTTAGAAGATGTTCATAAACAATTTAAGCACTAGTTGATTAAAAAAAGTAACCATTAATATTGCAAGTTATATTTTTATCCTCTCATAGTACATGCCTATTTAATTTTTTGATTAAGTAATGGGCACTTTGTTTACTCGAACTGCTCACTTGTTTCGTCGAACTGCTTGAATCAATTTTTCTTTTTGATCAAATCGGTGTGAGAACTCTGAAGTGATAAAATGTTGTTTCGGGAGAGTTGAATATCCGGTAAAGTTGAGTTATTGAATGTTATTGCACCCAACAACCACGTAATTACGCATTACGCCCTCCCTTACGTGTTATTTTTTCGGCAATTTTATTAACATTTGAAATTGTCTTGTATCCAAAACAGCGTGACATCACATAAACCTCGTACTTGAGTGTTTTAAAGTTTCAATAACTGCATTAATAAAAATAAAAATACTTTAATATTATGACAAAGCCAAGAATTGGTAACGGGACGGCGTCAAATACTATAGTCGGGCACTTCTAACTACTGCCGTATCTAGCGCTGCGGTCGGAATTTTTAAAATCAATTGAAATGCACCAAGCCTATAACTCAACAAGTTGTTACCATATTCAGACAACCATGTGTTTAAAATAATTACCTAAATAGAGTCATTGTAAAAAAATAATCTCATTAAAAAACTAGATGCCTTGAACCTGCAGTTCTTATAGTTTAAATTCTGCAATATTTTTACCAGTTTTTACTAAAACGTAGAGAGATAGTGTAAAAGTTAAAACGTTTAATAGAGTAAAGAAAATAAAGTAAATAAAACAATTTAACATATTTTACAAATCGAACTGTCTGTAATACAAATTCTTATTGACAGGACACGTTTGTATTTACTGTCTAGTTATTTCTCGTTTGCGCCAAAGCGTTAGCATACACGATGTCAAATGTCGAAAAGCGGAAAAGTATCGAGATGAAACTAAATAAATATGAGAAAACTTCAACGTAAATTCCATAGTAAGAATATTGTTTAATTTTTTGTTTTCTTTTTAGGTAGCAGATATCGAACCTCTATTTGATCGCCTACTATTCTTCTGGTCGGACAGAAGAAATCCACATGAAGTACAGCCCGCTTATGCAACAAGATATGCTATCACGTTATGGTATTTTGATGCTGCAGAACGAGAAGAGGCAGTGAGACGTTACGATAAAGAACGTAAGTCTTTATAACTGTATGTGTTCAAATATCGTAAGATTAAAAAAACAAGCTATAATTTATATTGCGTCGATCCAGTATCCATTGTCATTTCAAAGGCCACCGTAACGCCGTGTTTTTCAGATGTATAGTATTTAAAATATGAACGCTAGTTTATCATCAAACTGTAGCCAATGTAGTTTATTCATGTTCAGTGACAGTTGTTATCTATCCATTCAAAAGAGTATTGTTTTTTTCTATCATATTTTTGATGTCTTCTGTCAAAATGTCATCTCACTGGAAATACTATTATATACTATTTGAAAGATTTTTTTATTTTTTCAGGTTTGAGTTTGGAGAAATCCAGTACATCCACCTGACAGGGAAGGGGCGTCAAAAACTCGTTTGACCTTGAAAATGACAACGGCCTCGGGCCTCTCAGCATCAAATGTATATAAATTTGAGATCCTGCCGAAGATTGTTTTATAATTTAGAAATTAAGTGTTTGTAAGATATGTATGATAGTGCATATACACCTCTACTCTGATAAACTTGTTAATTCCTTTTCTTTCTAACCTGAAAAGGAACTAAGCTGTACAATATTTTTTTATATAGCAGTTTAGAATTGATACAATTATTGTTGGACAAAAAAATTAGGACTATTTTGTTTTCTTGTTTAATGAATGTGATTGTATAAATGAACAATCTATTAAAAACCTATATTTTCAAATACGTTTCTTTAGTCAAGTTTTTCTTCAAAGAAAACGAAAAAATAACAATTTAATAAATATGTGTGTAAAAATCAAAATTTTTCATATTTTCAAAAAATCTTTTTGTGTACTAACGTTTTTGTATGTGGTAAAAGTACGTATAAAATGTTTATTTGTTACAAAAAAAAACTTTTTCATAACATCCTGGGTACCTATTCTTGACAACTCGCATCTCCGAGAATGCCATAAACAATGCATGTATTGCGTATACGCAAAGTCGTCAGTGATGTCAAGAATAGCACCACTGATTTGTTGAGACATGTTATTCAATATGTGTATAAAATATTACCCTTGTTTATATATTTACTAGTTATTCAGCGTGAGTTAGTTCTGGGAGTCCACTGATAGATGACTACGAGAATTGCATCGCGGGTCTTACAAAAATTTGAATTTCTAAATAAGTGGGACAGTCTCAAGAACGGTAAACTAATTAGAATTATTAACCTAATAAGTTTACCGGTCTTGCGATTGTCCCACTTATTTAGAAATTCAAATTTTTGAAAGTCCCCCAATGCAATTCTCTTAGCCATCTATCAGTGAACTCCTAGAACTAACTCACGCTAAATAACTAGTTAATATATAAATAAGGATATTACTTAACTATTGCCATTATTTTATAAAATAAAAAAATAAAACCTTTTAAATTCTCAACAGTTTTATTCTTATTACTTCAGCCTTCCATTTCTTCATCCACATCAATGCAACAGTCAACTATAGCTTCTATAGAACTGCTTGTGGGATAATACATATTAAATGGGAAATCACCAGTACAGAACTGACCCTAAAACATTTAATTGCAATAAATAGGTAAATATTTATAACATTTCTTACAGGATTCATAACGAGACAGTTTTTGTATTGATCTTTAAATGCCTCTGATCGATCTCCAATAACAACTAAATCCGGTAATGGATATAGTGATAGACAATAATCATAATCCCAATGAACTGTTGAAGCATTTAAACTTAGAGGTGAAAAATGACCTTGACTTATAATGGTCCTGGTTATCTATTAAAAACAGATGTATTTGAATGAAATTTCTTGTGAGATAATATATTTTTTACACATTTAGGAATGTCCTCTCTGGAAGGTTTATATAAACTGTTTTGTAAGAGTTTTGCCAAGATATCTGACCTCAAAATGGCAATTTCTTTATTGCAATACTGAATTCTGCATGGATTGGTTGTGAATACTGCATTTGGCAATAGTTTTATTACATCTTCTGTTATATATGAAGGCAATTCCAGTCTATAAAATAGATATTAAGTATACTTATGTTTTTATTAATTGGCTAAATAGTACCTTGGTATAATATGAGGAGTGCATGGGTCAGTTAAACCAGGAACAAAAACAAAATTGCTTGAATTACATATAATGGAATACTTTGAGATCACTTCTGCCAGTCTTTTAAATAGTTTCTTTAGTGTAACCATCATTTCACTACCATGTGATTCAGACAAGAAATTTCCCATAAAAACAAATGCTATTGGAGGAACAAACTGTTCCATTTTATTAAATAACATATCCAATTTTTCAAACACCTAGAATTGGGTACAAGTTTAGAAGACTAATTCTGTAAAAATAAGATTTTGTTATGTACTTGGGGATGATCCAACCAGACATCAGATAGAATGACTATCATCTTATCTTTATTTTCTACCATTGTGTTCTTCAATCTCTTGGAATCCTTTAAAGGGACATCTGATTTGCCACCAAAATAATTTATATTGCCAAACGTTAATCTAAAAATATTATTTTAATTTAAAAAAATCATCTCTGTTTAGAAATTACCTAGAGGCAGCGTAATCTTCACCAGGAGGCAAGATTACTGTTGAAACATGTAGTATCTTATCTTCATAAAACCCATTTACAAGAACAAATGTGTTTTCTACATAAAATCCAGGATGGTATCTGAAAAGCGGATTGATATATGTTTAATAAATAAATAATAATTGAAAATAAAAATAAATGAAACCACTTACTTTGCATGTGCTAAATCTAGCTCCACTATACCTGTAGGATCTTCAATATAATACTTTCCCTCAGAAACTTGCAAAAGAGAGCCTAAAATCAAAGTACGATCGAGCTGTACTTCATATAATGTTAATAGGTAATCTACAGTTTGCAACTTTAAATGATTTTTTTCATCATTCAATAAAGTTTGTGCAAATGTACGTTTTGTTCTTTGGAGAACAGTAGAATATCTATCTAAAAACATTTTGGCTTTCACATTTGCATCTGATAGTAGTTTACTCTTTTTTGGATTGTATTGGTAAATTTTACGGTCTTGATTGTAATATAATTTTGGAAAATCAAATGCTCTTATGACACTAAAAACTGTTTCATTATGATCATACCCAGAATGTAGGCATACCTTAAAAAATATCATAAAATAATAAGATATAAAATATTTTATTTGTACCTCTAAGATCTTATCAATATGTTCTTGTTCGATACTATGACCAGACAAACATTGCTGCTCTAAGTTAACACAGATATTCTTAACTGTTTCATTGAAAATTTCTTTGGAATTTAAGTTAATATTTGCAGATAAAAACTTTTCTACAATCTGTGAGCAAAATACACTAAAATTAACACCAAGATAACGGAATGTTCCTGTAAGTTAAATCATACATACCTCCTAATATTAAAACCGCTTAGTTTGAGGGCATTTTGCAATTTTTTTGTTATTTTTTCGATCCCGGCCATTACTGATGTTAAATATAAAGTGAAAGAAATCACTCAACCTCTACACTATGCAATAAACCTAATATTGGTATACCTTAATATTTGCTAATGGCTAATGTTTTGTATGAATTGAAACATGTTTGAAACATAGGTTTGAAACCCTTAAAAATAACCTTTAAACATTTTGGTTTGCCGCCAATTTCTTCGTCTTTTCTTTTTCGGCCATAATCATGGTCAATGGCCTACCGACTTAGCAAGTGTCATCGACTCTACTATGGACTCTACTAACGAGTTATCCAATCTCATACGGCGGCGGCCTCGAACCTCGAACCGGCGTGAATGAGCAGTGTGTAGTGAATATAACAACTTGTGTGTAGTATGTGTAATATATATATATATAATTGATTTTTACACTCTGTGCTTGCAACTTACAATTTACAATGGAACTCATGAGATATACATGGAACAACAGCACGAAGGAGTACAGAATTTCCAGATGGTCACCCGTTCATCTACTAGTATCGCCTTCCATCGCTTAACTTAACTTCAGTGATCTATCCGAAGTAGGAATAGTTTTGATCAGAGGTTTTGATCAATAAAGATGTTTTTATGATTCGCTTTCACTGGATGGACTCTATGTATGACCCTTTGTCAGCCAAAAACTCTGGCCAAAAACTACAGTAATTTATCGTTTGATAGCAGAGACGAGACATTCTATGGCAGAGACTTTGTTAGTTGTGTTTGGTAGCATGCTTTGGTAGATTCCAATTTTTTTATGGGATGAAGATTTTTTAAAATAACCTTAAAAACTTACATTTTCTTTGCAGTTCCGCAGTGTTTTTTTCGTAGGTTTTCCTCCTAAAATGTATAATGAACACCCTTATTTATCGTCCGCTAATACGAATATCCTGTAAGAATGATTTTTCATATATTTTACGCACTATCGATAAGAGAAAAGTAGTACAGAATAGGTTATGCAATTATGTACATGAAATATTAAAGGCGGAATCCCCTTATAAGTTTTGGAAAACGTGCAGTTTTAGAATTTATTGTACTAGCACAGGTAGCCCAACAAAATTCTCTAAACATAAAAAAGAATTAAAAGCTTACTTAGAACATAATAAGGAAAAGATCCGGGACACTGAACAGAAATTAAAAGAAAGGGGATATGTCATACTGCAAGATATTAAAGATACCAAAACTAAAGTCAAAGCAAAAGTTGAAGAAATTGTTGAAGTAAAAGAAAAAAGCATTTAACTCTTTGTTATTAATTATTATATTTTAGAAAGAAAACATTTATACCGTACCAAATTTCTTATGTATCTCAAGGATAATAGTATCTCCCTATTTAGGATTTTTAATAGTCCAAGGTAACTTCGATTTTGCGCTTGGTATTTTAGGGTTTGCTGCTGTTACAGACTTGGTATAGAATCATCAAGCTCTATAAAGATGTTAAATTATTCATATTATTTTGTAGTTAGATGGATGGATTGCTAGAACATGGGAGAGTCAATCTTCTAAAATGGGAAGTTTTTTAGATCCAATGGCTGATAAAGTTTTAATAGCAATTTTATTCTTAACTCTGACATATGCTGATCTTATTCCTGTTGCATTGACAGGGCTGATTATTACAAGAGATATTGTGTTGGTTATTGCAGGATTTGTAATTAGATATATTTCTCTTCCACCACCTGTAAGCAACTTTAAAACTAATTCTAATTGGTTTTAAACAATCTATTTTGTAGAAAACATTCGTAAGATATTTTGATGCCACTCATGCAACTGCACAGTTAGCTCCTACTTTGATTAGTAAGGTAAATACAGCTGTGCAGCTATTGCTAGTAGGGTCAACTTTAGCAGCGCCAGTTTTTAACTACGTAGATCATCCACTCTTACATAGCCTGTGGTATATTACAGCTGGGACAACCATAGCAGCAGGTCTAAGTTATATCTTATCAAAAAACACTTATAAACTGTTAAAAAAAACATCTATTAAAAAGTAAATATTAACTTAAATGTCAGTGTAACATTTTCTTAACATATGTATATTAAAATCTTTTTTATTATTCTGATATTTTTTAATAATAAGTACAACATATTTAACAAACAATATTTAATACTGAAAAAGTATACAGAAATTAATATATACATTTAATAAATAAATTACAAAACTACCATCTCCAATTATCTAATCGAGACTTCTTTAAAGCTTCTAATGATTTTAAAGCTTTCTCTTCGGCACATGTTCTATCTTTCAATGTTTGCTGCTTTTTCCCTCCATTTAATACAGATTCATGTTCTAAGGCACCTGAAACCCCCTTTTTGGAGAAAAGATGTGCTAAGATATAATCATCATTTTGCCCTTTTTCCAGCTTTAACTTTTTTTTCTCACGTTTCACTAAACCTTCCACTTCTTCACCGTCAATTTTACCTGATGTATCTACGATATGTTTTCGTTTTCTTGATTTAAGTTTATCTTGATTTTTTTCTTCTGTTTCAGATGAATTATCATCATCTGATACTTGAGATATTCCTAAATTCTTTTCCATTTCTTTTATTTCCTTTAAATTCATACTGTGATAAAGGTTGGCAGTTTTAGAGCTCTGTTCAAGTGCTTTATCAAAACTTATCTCAGTTTTATCATCATCAAGTTTATTTATGTTTTTATCCTCAATGTACATTGCCTTCCACCTATTATAATCCATCAGATCTCTAGGACTTAGATGTTTTAATCTTCTCTTTTCTTTTAATTTTTTCTTCCTTTCCTCATCCAATTCTTTTTGGAAATAAGATTTATTTTGTTCCTTCTTCACATCTAGGGTGCCATTTTGTTGTGATATACTTTTTGCAATCTTTTGAGCTAGAGCTTTCATTTCTAGAACTTTATCTTCAGAAAATTTAAATGATTCTGAAGAATTTTCAGTATGTGAGTCAAGAGATGTCATGGTAGAACTCTTTTTTTGTTTTTTTTTCTTTTGGGTTTTTTGCTCCTCTAATTTTTCCTGCATTTTGATCCTAGACTCTCTAAAAATGTTGGTTGTTTCAGGATTAGCTTGTGCAGATTCTGGCAATGAAAACAAATCAAATAAATCTGATGATTTAAAGAATTTGTTAGTGCTAGGATCTACTAAAACTTTCTTACTTAGCAGTTGTTTCCAAACCTGTCTTTGGTACATTTTCTCTTCTACAGTACCAGCAGAAATAAGGCGATAAACTGTCACTGACTTATCTTGGCCAATTCTCCATGCTCTTTCTCTTGCTTGAGCATCTGTTGCGGGATTCCAATCGGGATCATATATTATTACTCTGTTGGCTCCTGTTAAATTTACACCTAAACCACCAACTCTAGTTGTCAACAGAAACACCTCAAAACTACTATCTGTGTTAAATTTATCAATTAATGATTGCCTTGAGCATATAGTGGTGCTTCCATCCATTTTTAAATATTTGTAATTTTGCTGTGAAAGAAATAATTCAAATAGTTTTATCATTGATCTACCTTGACAGAACAAAAGTGTTCTGTGGCCTTGTTTTTTCCATATTTTCAATAATGCAGACACAACTACCATTTTACCAGATCTCTTATAGTATCCATATTGTGTCTCCAAAGATGTCTCATCATTTTCATACCAATCAGTTTCACTTAAGTATAAATCTGGATGATTACAAATTTTTCTTAAAGCAGTTATTGCTATTAGCATATTTGCTTTAATGTGGTTATCAGTACTCCATTGTTTTATACCTCTACCCAGTATATTATTGACTTGTTCAGATACTAAATATTCTTTATACAAATTTCGTTGTTGGTCAGTTAAAGAACAGAATAATACCTGTTCACTTTTATGAGGTAAATGAATGAGATTCTTTACATCATTTTTCATGCGCCTTAACAAAAAAGGTGATATAATATTTTTTAATGTTGACGCCACAGATAAAGCTGTTGCTTCCTGCATTGGACTAGAATTAGCAAATCCACCTTGTAATATTGGATTGACAAAATGTTCTGTAAATGTAGCCAGATTACCTAACATTCCTGGATTGGTAAAATCAAATAGACTCCATAATTCTGTTAAATTATTTTGCATGGGACTCCCAGTTAACATTATTCTATGTGGTGTCCTGATACTTTTAATAGCCACTGATATTTTAGCATTTGGATTCCTAATTTTATGCCCTTCATCCAGAATAAAATAATGCCAATTATATTCACAAAGATTTCCCTTATATTTCAATACTGCAGCATAAGTTGTTATAATTATGCCCTTGTTGTTATTGATTTCATCAATGAGTTTTGTTTTATGACCTTGATGTGTTCCTGACTGGTGAAGAATGGCTACACGAAATTCAGGAGCCCATTCATAAAAATGCTTAACCCATTGATGAATTACAGTAGCAGGACAAATAATCAATGTTGGTCCAACTCCTATAAACTTGCAATGTTGAGAAACTATTTTACTGTATTGTAATGAATGTAAAAAGGCAATTATTTGAACTGTTTTGCCTAAACCCATTTCATCTCCTAGTAAACCACCTGTAGATCTTTCATGCAAGTCCCATAACCATTTTACACCACTTTTTTGATAACCATATAATTTATTCCATAGATCTCTTGGTACTTTCAAACCGCCATTGATTTCCTTATATCCATTATCTATTAACTTATTGGATTCATAACTTGTGCTGGCAAGCCCCTCCTCTATTTTATTATAGTAAGCATTTAATCTAGCTTTATAATTACTGTGCAAAGCATCATCTTTTAGTCTTAAATTACCAACATACACCTTTTTTGATATTTTTTTAGTACACACCTTTCTGGGTGTCTTACTTTTATTTAATACAATTTTATTTTCTGGTACATAATCTTCATCTGAAAATTCCTCTTCGCTAGGAATGTAATCACTTTCAGAACTGCCAACATCTATTTCTGCATTATTAATTCCATCTTCATAAATAAAATTTACTTCGTTACATTTAGAATTTAAAGAAACACCATCTTTAATTGGCTGTTGAATATATAATGAAACATCATTTAAAGGGCGACTGCATTCTGAAAATACATTGCTGTTTTTAGTATCCTCTTTACTAACATCCAACCCTCTAGGCTTAGTTTCATGACTTTGTTCAACAAATATTTCAAGTTCTTTTGAAGCTTGTTCTTCTAAAACTTCTTGAGATTTGCTCCAAAGAGATATTCCTTGGAAAACAAGAGATTGCAATTCATTATTCTAAAAAGTTGATAAATTATTTTATATTCGTCTAATTAAAAATATCCTCATTAAAATGATTTGAAAATATGTTTCTATTACCTCTTCAGTCATTTTAAGCTCTACCTATAATGTGATTATATTATGAAAATTAATTTCTCTTTTAAAAACAAAACATAACCTACGGGATGTTGGGGATGATAAAATTTGTTTTGAAGGTTGTCAACATAGAATAACTAACTGGTTGTCAATGTCCAGTCCAGGGTGCATCCACACATCCACACTATCCTAAAAAAGGCGTATCGGCAAAGAGTAGATAAGACTTATCCATGGCATTGAACTATGTACCATGAGACTTATCCATGGCATTGAACTATGTACCATGAGACTTATCTACTCTTTGGTATCGGCGTAACGACCTTGAATCGATTTTAGGGTGCAGCCACACTATCCTAAAAACGGCGTAACGGCGTAATGACCTTGACTAGATTTCCAGTAATTCTATTGGCTGAAATTTTTGACAGATAAAATTTCTGACAGATGAATGCTTCAGCCAATAGAATTACTGGAAATCTATTCAAGGTCATTACGCCGTTACGCCGATACGCCGTTTTTAGGATAGTGTGGGTGCACCCTTAGTATTTCTATTGGCTGAAATTTTTGACAGATAAAATTTCTGACAGATGTATTTTCCAGCCTATTACTGGAAATCTATTCAAGGTCGTTACGCCGATACGCCGTTTTTAGGATAGTGTTGATATGGTGTTGATGCACCCTCAATGTCAAGGTTGGCCATGTGCCATGATCATGTCGCAAAACATGTTGCCCACGGATGTATATTACCTATACATCCGTGATGGTGCCCCATAATATTAAAAAAGAGGAGGAAATTAGAGCCGTTAGAGCCCTTGCAGCTCGGCACTAAATAGTTGATTTGAGTTGATTCTTGGCTTCTGACCACCTTCTGACTTAAAAGCAGAGATATAGAAATAGCTACTTCTTAAAAGTAAGCTACTTCTATATCTCTGCTTAAAAGTAACTTGTAACTTTTAAGTAATGTTTTCTTTTTGCTGCCAGGGCTAATCTGAACAGGGCCTACATTGTTTACGCGGAATCCGAACTGTGGTCCGCGATCATTTTTTTTTTCTATTTTTTGCCACTTGTCTATTACGACATTCAGCCATCTTATTTCTTAATATTTAATTAGCGTTTAAAATCGGACAAATACAGACTCACACACACATTTAACACCCATGTCCGAGACCGGAATCGAACCGGCGACCTTGCGTCTACTAGAAAGCAGCGCAATCATTTCGACCACAAGGCCGACCGTCCGCGATCATGGTGAATGGGCTACCAACTTGGTGAGTATCTAAAATCAACTCTTAACGCACGAGATATCTGGTCTCATCCGGCCTCAACCCAAGGATACTATATAGAGATAAGGATAGTTCGATTCCTATCTTCCTGCACTGTCAGTTTTTTTACGTCATCTACTGACGAGTTGAAGTTGGCGCTAAAGATTTTACTGATTTTAGACAGTGACAGTTATTTTTGCATTTGACCGACGACCGCACAGTGCGTTGGAAGATAAATTTAGCGGGACAAAAGCGTTTGGTTAGAAATAAGCCAAACCAAAAAATGTGTACTGATAAGAATAAATAGTAGACATTCCAATTGATACAAAAATGCATGAATATTCTTTGTATTTCGATACATTTTTATCAACCAAATTTGGTCGTTTTATGCTCAGCAAGGCAGAGATCATACGAAAGCAAAATATTTACAAGTGCTTATACATTCTATTAGAAAGCCAAAATATGTTGAAGATCGCCAAAGGTATGTACTTTTCTACTGTACGTATATTATTTGTTAAAATCCTTCGTGCCGTTGTTCTGCAGATATCAAACTTTCACTTTTTTTTCAAATATCGATGTATTGAATGATGTAGATCTTTTGAGTTACCAATAGTTACCAACACAGGGAGTTCAAGCTTAACAGGTGAATGCCCAAAAAGATTCATTTCAATCGGATATTATAAAAACAAAACAACTCCATCAAAAGGCACTGAGTTTAAAAAACGGTCTTAGATACTTACTATATATGAATTTACAATTACCGAGTGTTAAAATTAAAATTAAAATATCTATCTTATTTATTATTTTCAAAATAAAATATATTTTTTAAAATAAATTATAAAGGGTGTCACAAGATTACAAATTAATTAAAAAAAACTGCTAAAGATAAAGAAGTTTTTTGATATCATAATTTTATGTATTTGGCAAATAGTTTACAATACGGTTTTTGCGTGTCATGTACGAATAATATCATAGTTTTATTATCTTGTATTTATTTATTAATAAATTAAGTTGTTAATAAATAAATAAATTTAATCATATAGTTGCTATATATTAGACCATTAGCTACGTTCTTAGATTTTAAGTCCCAAACATTGCTCTTGAGATTTTGTCCCGCTAGAATAACCATCCGTCGCACTGTGGAGCGCTGGTCAGCGCGTGACGTAGCATTTCTCGGCGACTACGACAGCGGCGATTTGACGCGATCGAACAGTCCTTTAGAATCACAGTTTAGAATATATACAGTTGCAGAATTCCATATTGTTCTTTCACTGTTTGGGCTTCACTTTTTGGAGATTAACCTGAGTATATTTGTAAAAAGTAATACGTATATGGGTGTACCTAAGATTTTTGATCCTTGTCTTCTTATCTTATTCAAAGGAGTTTCCAGACGGTCACCGGTTCGTCCAGTGTTGGTTTTACTCCGATCACGACTCCGATGATCTAATGGAAACCGGTGTTTGTACGTAGCTAGGCTGTTGCCACATGGTTGCCACACTGTTGCTATGGAGCTGTTGCCCACAGTTATGGAGTGTAGAGGTAAGGAGAAATAACTCTTATGGGACTTTTATTGAAAAAGTGGTCACAAAATGGGAAGAATAAGGGTTCGCCAAATGACCACAGTGGCGCTAAAAACGCATAAATCTAAAAAATGAAAAGTAACCATAGATCAGAGAATAAAAATAAATATAACCAAACATTACCCAAAAAAAGTTTTGTTTTTATTTTTTAGAATATAAAATAATTATTGTTTATCAATATTTTGTGCTTTATTTATTATTTAACAATGGTTAAAGTGTGTGTGGTGCGAAGTTGATTGAATAGCTGATGGAAAAATAAAGAACAAAGGCAAAGCCTGTAAAATACATAATTATAATTCAGTATTGTATTATTTGTATTATATGTAAAAATTAGAGTCAATCAAAAGTGTAGTAAACATTTTTCGTAAGATTATTGACATACATGTTACAAAGTATATTTTTACAATCCTTTCTATAAAGTTACAACCTGAATAAAATTTATTTTTAATGATTTTAAAGTTTGACAGACATGCACAAATTGTTGGCATTTTTATAAACAAATAAAAGTAGGAAATAAATAAAGTTGTAGGTACTTTCAAAAAATATAGTTAACTGTAAGTGCTGTATTTTAATAATCTATCAAAAATCAAAATCATCAGGATAATATTAGGTATTTTCAGACAAGAATTAGATTAGAGCGATGGTTAAAAGCATTTAGATATTGCTTTGAAATCTACAGATAAGGTATGGCAGTTTCATTTTAAAGAACAAGATGTTAAAGTTTATGATAAAATTGTCATCAGAAATACTGTCCACTTGCAGTATTTACATAGGAAAATATTGGAGGATGAAGCTCTACCTACTGCTTCAGGTTAACCTCAGGTTAATTTAAATTCTGAGTTGCCACAACAGCAACAAGCAAGAAGGGCACCATTAAATGAATATTATACACATAAGTATTATTATACACAGAAAGAGTAATGTTATACACATAAATATTAACATTTTGTAGAGCAGCAACAGAATAAAAACTACTTAGAGCAACTAAAACAGGAACCATTAAATGAATATTATACACGTAAGTACAATTTGATCGAATAAAAAACGGCGTCAGCGATGCCTATGAAATGAAGATTGCTGTCATTTTATATGTAAAATAATATGGAGAATGTCATCGAGATGTTCATTTCCAAGCCAACTGGACGCCGTGTTTTTTCGATCATACAGTATTATTATATTCATAAATAGTAATATTATACACATAAACATCCCTTGATAAAGATTAACATTTTGTAGAGCAATAACAGCATCAAATAATGGAAATAATGGACCCTATTGCTCAAATCAAAAACAAAATTTCATCATTACCACTTTATTGGTTATATCAATAAAAGAAATTATTGAGTTTATGAGTCTAGATCCTACAAGCAAGCAGATCTATCACATAATTTAAAATGAAGATTTATCTATTATAGTATGTATAAACACTTTGCATCTTTTATTCAATGTTGTAATGAATTAACAAATTGCAGGTAATTTATTCTAATAATGAAAAAGAAACTTTGGATCAAAAAATATTTTCTTCTGATGAGGCTTATGAATATTAAAGTCTGTTGAAGTTTGGCCATTATGTGTTGGTATACAATTTATTTATGATGTTACAGTAGTTAAACCATCCGAATACAAAACATATTTAAAATCCACTATTCTTAATGAACCAACTTGAGAGGAAGCTAAGAGAAAGGTTCTATTGGGTGGACTACAAGAAAAAGGGACATATACATGAGGATCTGGAAGGGCTATAACATTACGTCTCAAGCCATGGAACAATAGGAAACGAAATTCAAAGGAAAATATTACAATACGTGGGATGCAAATTATAGTGCAAAGAATTGAGAAAAAGAATTATTAAAAGTAGTTATAGTTATGATAGTTAAACCATCCGACTACCAAATATATTTAAAATCCACTATTCTGAATGAATAGCAACTACCAACTTGAGAGGAAGCTGCGAGAACGATTCTATTGGGTGAACTACAAGGAAGACATGAGCATCTGGAAGGGCTATAAAATTATATTATTTCACGTTTCAAGCCATGTTGGAATAGCTGGGAGTGAAAAAGAAGATAATACTGCACACCATTCTTGTCTAGAAGTAGTTGATATTAAGGTAGTTAAACCATCCTACTATCGAACATTTAAAATCCACTATTCTGAATGAATGGCAACTACGATGGGGCAAAACGTAAATAAATACTTGTACAGTATAAAATTACATTATATTGGCTTAATTTTTATACTAAATAAAATGTGTTACGTTATTTTTGACCTGCATTATATTTATTTAAATCCCATATCATCAATTAAACTTTAAATAAAGTTTTCCTAATTATAATTAACATTAATTTTAAACTAAAGCTTTTTTCATCTTGAATGAGATTTACGAAATAACTTATGAGAAAAAATAAAAAAGAGGCTCAGTCTATTGCTTCTGAATAATTGATAATAAAACCACATGTTGACTTACTTTTATACTAAATAAATGTAGGTATGAAGTTATTTTAAAGCTGCATTATATTTATTTTAAACCCATCACCAATTATAACTTTAAATAATTTTTTTCTTAATTATAATAACATTAATTTTAAGCTAAATGATCAGAATAATGTTTTCGTCGTCTTGAATGACATTTGCGAAATAACTTATGAGAGCAATAAAAAAAGAGCCTAGTCTATTGCTGCTGAATAAAAATCTGTAATTTATTTCATGTGACATAAAAATAAATTTGTATTTTTTTGAAACCCGCGGCTTCACGTATATGATTCACGTCAAATGTCTTTTGAATCAGCTGTTCTAAAAATGTTCGGCGCATGTCTTAAATTTTAGGTTTTTGCTACAGCAGCGCCATCCTAATTCTTCCCTTTTTTTGACCATATTTTAATGCACGGAGTTGTTTCTCCTTACCTCTACACTCCATACCCACAGTATACATAAATTAAAAACGAAGAGGAGGAAAATCTTCCTCTTAAATATATTAGGCACTGAATTAAAATAAAATTTTCAGAAATATATGAACATTATAAATTCTCTATATGAACAGTGTTGTTACAATAGGTACAATTGTACTATTTTGGGTACATTTGATAGTCAAGGAGTACATAGGTACAATTGCAAGAAAAAATGTACAATTCTTACTTCTCAAACCCAAACTAACCCAAACTTAAACCCACGTACAAATTTTTAGACGAACGGTGATACGCGATGCGTGGATTTGAAATGCAGGTCGCTAGGAGCAGAGGCCCAGAATTATACATCACTTGAAATGCTGTTCAAGAGCTCAAGCTGCACGGATGTCAAACGTAAGTTTGATATCCATGCGGTGAGTAGGAGGGGGGACTAATCACTGCGACCTTAGAGATCTATTGTGAGTTCCCATTTAACCAATGCTATTCAAAGCTCTTTGTAGCTTCTGTATTGCTGTCCTCCATTTGCGAATTTCAAGTTCCAGAGCTTTACGCCCTGGGTTGCTCAGAACGGTTCTGAAAGGAGCTGTGCGAGATAGCCTGGTGCCTCCATATGGCGCGGAACCAGTTCTGAACTTTATGACTCAATTGAATGGAGGGAGAGTATCGCGTTCTTGAACAGTTCAGAGCTGCGCAACTGCGTGAAAGGAGGACAGCATATGGTGTATATATCTGTGGGAGGGTGCATCCACATTATCCTAAAAAAGCGGATCGGCGGCGGTGTATCGGCGTAACGACCTTGAATCACTTCCAGCAATTCTATTGGCTGAAAAATTCATCTGTCAGAAATCTTATCTGTCAAATTCACCTGGCAAAATTTTCAGCCAATAGAATTGCAGGAAATCGATTCAAGGTCGTTAAGCCAATACGCCATTCCGCTGTTTTTAGGATAGTGTGATGCACCCTACGTACCAAAACTTGGTAAAAATGGGGTAAATAGAGAGATCACATGACCCCACATTTTTGCACCAAAAATGTACAATCCCACTTAAAAAAGTACAATTTCGACACCATTTATAGTACAAAAATTTTTGCCCTTGTAACAACGCTGTATATGAATGAGAATCTTTAGGCCCTACATATCGGAAGTTATTTTACAACAGGATTTGGTATACCCAGGACCCAGAATTTATCTGCAAGTTTTTGAAAGTTTCAAATGCATTTTTAAATGAGAATCTAAGGATTTTTGACATGCTGTTGTTTTTGTTTATTCAAAGGTTTTTTTTCATCTGGAAAGGTCACTGTGACTGACATATGGAGGCTAGACTGACAAACTGACAACGACAACAAACTGCTTCGTGCTGACAATTGACAAACTTGCATGGTATCCGAATGGTACGAAAAAGTCAAAGCAGCAAGTCTCCTAGCAAAAAATCTAGAAAAAGCGAACCAGATGCGACCCATAATGTGATGTTCACCACGTACTCGAGAGGTTCGGTTCATAAAAGGAATTTATATATCGTTTCATTTCCCATTATATTCCTGTTTACAATTCTACGTTCTTTGTTGTATCAGATCTTTCTCATCCTACGCTTTGTTTATTTTCGTTCGTCAAATTATTTCGTTAAAACTAGGAACGAAGATGCTAACACGAATGACGATACCGAACGCAGCAGTTGTATTTTAGTTGAAGAAATAACAGAAATGGCTCAAGTAAGGAGCACAGGGCCAGGTCCCGGAGACCCACTTCTAGCTAAACAAAAACACCATCACAGAAGAGCGTTTGAATATATATCGAAGGCATTAAAAATAGATGAAGAAAACGAAGGTTGATGTAAACTAATGTTCTTGTTATATTCATGATCAGATATTTTCAGGCCAGAAGGATTTAGCTATTGATCTTTACCGCAAAGGAATTACAGAATTGGAGCTGGGAATAGCTGTCCAATGTTGGGGTGGTCGAGGTGAAGTATGGGAGAGAGCACAACGACTGCATGAAAAGATGAAGACAAATTTGGCAATGGCTAAAGACCGGCTTCAATTTCTAGGTATTATTTATATTGTTTACGATAGTATTATTCTGTTATATTTTGAGTTTTATATTTATTTTTCCAAAAAGGGAATCTTTTATTTTACTTTCTATTTAAGTGGAGATTTATTTATAGAAAATGAGGATAAACTGCAACAGTTGGAGTTTGAAGTTAAATCAAAAGAGTCTAAGTTACTTAGCAATATACCTACCCCCAAAGTAAATGTTCCTAAACTTCCAGGTACTTTTAAGTGTTTTTTTTTCTATTTTGCATAATACTAATATTTCCTACTTTTATAATTTAACTGAAGGGAGCTTAAGAGGTATAACTGTTATTCTAAATAATTATCTTATCAGTGAAAAGAGTATTATTTCTTTAATCATCTGATTTTTATTGCTTTATAAAACCTGTCAGTTTGCTATTGCTTTATTATTTTCTTTATTTTTCTATTCTTTTCAGCATCTGGCAGAAAACTGACTGTAGCTGGAAAACGTCCCACAAACTCCACCCTATCAAAAAGTCAAACGCTTCCCAGGTCAATGGGATCTCGATCAGCTCCCATTCAACCAGTTAGACCATTCAATAAAGTTGCTTCTACACCTCCTGCTGTTAAAAAACAGTTATCTATACCAGGAAATGTTTCATCTCCATCACGTAGAACAAATAATGGAAATACTACTAATTTGGGAAATACAAGCAAATCAGGGGCCAGAGGTCGTTCCCCTACATTGAAGGGTGTCGATCCTAAATTAGCGCAATGCATCTTGGACGAGATCGTCGAGGGAGGACCCCAAATTCAATGGGATGATATTGTTGGTCAAGAAACAGCCAAACAAGCACTGCAAGAAATGGTTATTCTCCCTTCATTGCGCCCAGAACTGTTTACTGGACTAAGAACACCAGCCAGAGGATTGTTACTGTTTGGGCCTCCTGGTAACGGAAAAACTTTGTTAGCAAGAGCCGTTGCTACGGAATGTCAGGTAGCTTAAAAGATAACTCAACAGTGATTCAGTGTTTCAAAAAAGCTCTTTCTATATAGAGTAGGGACTCGATAATCCGGATTAATTAAAGCTATGGTTAGTCTGGATTATCGCGTGTTGCATTTTGTATATCTTCTCTCTTCAAGCCCCATCTACATTCCGAGTTTCAACCCCTTAGTTCACATAGAGCCCGAGTTACGACGCTCCAAAGACCCATTAAATCGGACGATTTTTTCGCCATTAATGATGTGGTTTCATAGTACACGAAACGTCGTCAAAATATCATGAAAAGATGGGGCTTTTCGGGCTCCATCTACATTCCGAGTTTCAACCCCTAGCTCACATAGGGCACGAGTTACGGTGCTCCAAGATCAATACCATTTTTGTGATTACCTTTGGCCACCTTGTCGTCTTCGCGTAACGCTAGCTCGCGTGTCACGGCCTTGAATTTTTACTGCCATCGCGCATAAAGAAGGTTCACTTCAAAATCTCTCTTGTCTCAAAAATTTACGTCGAGTTTTTCTTATTACCTATTCCGAATCGTTCGTGCTACGCATACGTAGACGGAAATATGCACTATATTTTCATATGCGCATGTGCTGTAAAGTTCTAGGACGGTTCAGAATCGGTAACAAGAAAAACCCAAACTATGCTTTTGTCACCCACAGATTAAAGCTTGATTTTCATGGTCCGACGGTGCTCTGATTGGTCATAGTGTTTTCGCGCCACTTTTCATCCATAAATAATTTACTTCAGTCCGTCAACGGATCCGAAGGTTCATACTAGTGGTCGAGAACTATCGATAGTCCCCACCATCGATAATTATCGATAGTCATAATAATTAGTGAGCTTACCAGTTTTTAGGTTATTTTTTAAATAAATTATGTTTTGTGGGAGATCATTGACGTAAAAAGTACCCCAGACTCTTTAAATAACATTTTTATATTAAATCACCGCCTGCAAATGGAATGGTGTGATGTGTCCAAATCACATACGTTTTTTTTATATTTTGATTTATGTTTATTATTGTTTATCACATATAAATTAAATTGCAAAATGCAAAGCAAAAATGCCAGATTAGATCCAAAAATCCGTTGGCCGTAAGCTTGAAGTTGACGTTTGATGTTAAAGTTGACACTGTTGACAGTTAACGTTGACAGTGTTGACACGACATTTGATAATTTTGACAATAATGACATATTTCGGATTGACTAACTGCTCTGAAAACTCGTTTAAAAGAAGATTCTTATTTATTTTCGGCCTATGTTAAAGAACCGATTGGTTGTGATAAAAAAAATTAAACCTGAATGTCTTTTCTTTATTGAAACTGGTAAATAGTAATAAAGACATAATTATCGAAAACTATCGATGGTCAGAAATATAATATCGATAGTTTTCGATAGTATAAACTATCGATAAATGTATGTATGTATGTATGTAATTGTCTTTATTTCCCACAAAAATAAATACAAGAGCAAGTAATTATATAATAAACACAATGATATGAACATAACAGAATAATACAAATTCAGTGGAAAATGAAGGGAAATTCAGAACATAAATTATTATGTTCTGCTCTTCCATTTAACTCCAGAAAGAAAAAAAAAATGATACAAGAAATTTACAAGAAAACAAATAAATGTTAAATAAAAAGAAAACGTAAACAATCGCGAAATTATAATTAAACGACTATAATATAACAATACAAATACACTCATTTATACATCTTTGCACTGCTCTTCGAAAAGCCATAAACGAGCTCTGGTCTTGAACGAAATACTCGTAAAACTCCTTAAGTGAGTTGGTACCTGAGCATAGATCTTTGAGACCGAATAACTGAAAGATGTTTCGTAGAGGGAGGTTTTGTGGTAAGGAACTGATATATTAGTTTTATGACGGATGTTAATACTATGAGCCTCTTGTCTCAACTGAATTTTATTGAAAAGATATACTGGTTTATGCGATATTAATTATATTGTGATATAATATAATATTATTCAAAAGAAATCTATTTTTCAAATTTAACCAATGTAGTGTTTTAAAAGTATGTGCTACATGATCATATTTTCGCAAACCAAATATATATCTTAAACAATAATTTTGTACTTTCTGTACTCTGTACATATCATCCATACTTACGACTGTGAGAAAACGACGGAACAATGAGAGAAATGGGACAAAACTAAGGTATTGCATAGATTGGCTTTTACCTTACTATTTAAAAAATGCCGCAGTGGATAAAGCTGTCTTAATGCCGAAAATGCCCTTTGAATAGATGCAGATATGTGTTGCTTGTATTTCAAATTGTGATCAATTATAATACCCAGATTTTTGGCTTCGGTAACAACATCAAGATTGACATTATTAATCTTAAATTTAGCTAATTGGCAAACATCATGATAGCAATTTTTACTTGAAAATTTTGTGTTTTAACTTGTGTTTTAGTTGGATTCAACTGTAATTCATATTTTAGAGACTGTGCATATATATATATGTTGTAAATCTTCATTGATCATATTAATGGCAAAATTTAAAGAATTCCTATTAAAAGAGGCATACATCTGAGTGTCATCAGCGTACGTATGTATCTTACAAAACTTAACATCGTTGTGAATTAGAGAGGTATATATACAAAAAAGGAGAGGTCCAAGGATTGAACCCTGAGGAACTCCACGTACTAACTTTATTGGATATCGATAGGCTATCGATAGTTCTCGACCACTAGTTCATACGATAACGGACGTTTTGACACTTTTTTGACAAATTTAATCTAACCTTAATAAAAATACAAGTAAAATAGCAAAATCGTTATGGAAATGAACATATAAAATAACACCAACGTATATCCGATAACCGGAGGCATGAAAATGCAATAAATTTAAAAACTGCGGTATTTTCTAACCAATCAAAGTCTTTAAATTCTACCAATAAAATTAATATCGTATCAACGTATCGTCGGACAACGGGTGCATGAAAATCAAGCTTAAGGCGGAACCTTTGGCAACCAGTGGCTGTTAATGTAACAATGCAAAATTTTGATTATTGAGTCATGCGATCCAAATTATCGTTCTTCGGATTATCGAGTCTCTACTGTATTCTGAAATAGTCACAATGTACTCTACGATCTATGATATCTATGATCAGATTTTTGAAAATACTGTCATCAAATAATGTATTATATGTTAATAGTGATAGTCTAAGAGTTAGCAACGTATTTTAAGACGTCTGGCTTTTTGATATATCTTTTAATATGCTCTCTGGAACAGCATGCTGTCTGGCTGCCGATACCCGTTGCGTTCACTACTGCGCATCGGAAGAAGATCCTATATATATATATATATATATATATATATATATATATATATATATATATATATATATATATATATATATATATATATATATATATATATATATATATATATTTTAATTTAGTCCTAGAAATTCTAGTATTGAATATAAATCGAACATGTCTCCATAGCGCAGTGCGTAGAGTTTACGATCACGAATCGAGTATTCAGAGTTCGAATCCGGGTCAGGACAAAGACTGTTTTATTTTATTTTCGTTTATATTCTGATAGTAAAGTATTAAATAATTCTGGTGATTCAAAACGAAAACAAATATTTAATACTTTACTATCAGAATATAAACGAAAATAAAATAAAAAAAGTCTTTGCCCTGACCTGGATTCGAACTCTGAATCCTGGGTTCGTGATTGTAACTCTACGCACTGCGCTATGGAGACATGTTCGATTTATATTCGATACTAGAATTTCTAGGACTAATGAAAATATAGGATCTTCTTTCAATGCGCAGTAGGGAACGCAACGTTTACCGGTAGCCAGAACGCAACGTTTACCATGCTGTTCTAGAGAGCATAGTAAAAGATATATCAAAGAGCCAGACGTCTTAAAATACTTGTTTTTCCGACGTTGCTAGCTCTCGTACTATGAATAATAGCCATTTGTTTATGTTCTTTGATTCTATTTAGGCTACATTTTTTTCAATCAGTGCAGCCAGTTTAACATCAAAATATGTAGGAGATGGTGAAAAAATGGTCAGAGCCTTGTTTGCCATAGCAAGAGAACTACAACCATCAATTATATTCATTGATGAAGTGGACTCTTTGCTTTCAGAGAGGTCTAATAATGAACATGAGGCCAGTCGCCGTTTGAAAACTGAATTTTTAGTTGAATTTGATGGATTACCTAGCAATCCCGACAATGAGAGAGTAAATTAACTGTAATTTAAAATACTGACATTTTAATAAATAATTCCCCCCCAGGTCCTAGTCATGGCAGCAACTAACAGACCACAAGAACTAGATGAAGCAGCTTTAAGGAGGTTTACCAAAAGAGTTTATGTGACTCTACCTGACTTGGAAACTAGAATAAAATTACTGAAAAAGCTTCTTTCGAAGCAGGGTTGTAGTCTGACGTCGCAAGAACTGAAAAGATTGGCTACATTGACTGAAGGGTACTCGGCAAGTGACCTTACAGCTCTTGCCAAAGATGCGGCTTTAGGCCCTATAAGAGGTACTTTTATTTGTTTTTCTTCTTTATTATTTAACGAAATTATGACGTTTTTCTCAGAATTACAACCAGAACAGGTTAAACAACTAGATCCTAGCGCAATCCGAAGTATCACAATGAAGGATTTCTTGGATTCCTTGAAAAGAATTCGAAGAAGCGTGTCTCCACAAAGTCTTGTGGCATATGAGAAATGGTCACTTCAATATGGTGATGTTTCAATATAACCATTCCATAGCATTTGTTTACTATGTACCATTTCTTTCATTTTTATTTATCTGTGATAACACAGTCAATGTGTTCCAGAATGTGGAGAAAATGATATTGTATGAACAGGACAACTTGAAGTTCAGTATTTTCCACATTTAGTGGTGTTATTTGTAGTATATTATTTCATTTCCTTGTTGCCGTTTGAATTAGATAATAGGATATGTGAATTTGTTGTAGCGTAGTTTCACTTGCCATACAACTATTTTAGAATTTTGTTTGGCAAATTTTTACTATTTTGGATTATAAACATTAAAAATTAATATAGAACGTAAGAAGTGTTTATATTCCGAAATTATTATATTAACAAATTGGTTACCCTTTGGTTGGACCAATATAATAAGATTTGGCAGACCATCGCTTCATTTTTTATCATGTTTATATATTGAACGATTAACTTTTAATAAATCAGTGATAATCAAGAAAATGTGGACTTTTAACTAAATATACATGGGAAACACTTTTGGGTTTTTTCAAATAAAAGGCAGTAGTAGAATTGATGAATTATTATATTTATAATTATAAAGCTTTTCAAATAAGTACTCTAGACCATATGATTGTATAATCATAGACAAATGTAACAAAAATAATTTCTAATACTGGTAATTTACGAATACATTTCTAATATTTTTCAAAATTAGCATATTAAAAAATCAAATAAAATACTTTTTCATTTTGAAGATAATCTTAACATTCAAAACGCATCATACATTTTTTTATTTCATTAAAAAAATTGGAATACCACTTCTAGAGAGTTTCATATTTAAGACTGAATTAATATAAGAATTCGATAAATTACATTAAACGCCGTCTTTTAAGTAGAGAGATTCATTGGTTGTAATAGAGACAAAAAATCGAAATAGTAGATAATACCGTATGATCGAAAAAAAACGGCGTCAGCGATGGCTATGAAATGAAGATCGCTGTCATTTTATATGTAAACTAGTTGAAGCCTGGCGCATCCGCCACGACATCAGGAAAAAAATACTTTTTATTTTTTTTTAATTAAATGAAAAACAAAAAATCCGGCGACAGTTTTTAGAAGAGCCAATTAGCTATCTTTTAGTAAAAAAAAGCAACTTTCTAGAACAAGTCGTTACTTCAGTAGAGACGACACAGATAAACATTAGCATTTTATATATGAGAAATGTAGAAGCAAAACAGGCAATCTCCACTTTTTAACAAAACTGACAATCTCCATTTTTTTATTTCTAATTAGCATATATCTATAACTGTAATAACTAGATATGTGCAGATTATGCATTTTACACCCCCTATTTTATGCAAACAAATTTTGTTATATTATGCGGCTTTTATGCGCCCAAAAATGGTTCATTATGCGGCTATTATGCGTTAAAAAGTTACTTATTATGTGAAAAAATGCTCATAGAAAAGTAATTTTATGTTTTTACGTAATAAAGTGCTTAAAGGTCGGTATTTTCGTTAAAGGTTTTTAAAAACAGAAAAAAAACACAAGATTTCACAAAACGCAACATATTATATTTAAACAATGTCAATTTTTGGTAACTATAAATCATCTTAACAAGATAACAAAAGTTTAATAATATTATCAAATATTAATCTCATAAAAAAAGCTAAAGAAAAAAAGCTGTTTCAACATCATCTTCGACAACCCAATCCGAACAATCATCTCCAAAATACATACACATCATAACTTCAACGTTTTCAGGAGAAAGTCTGCAACGTCTAGGGGAGAGAATATCACCATAGGCTGAAAAAGCTCGTTCGCTATCGACATTTGCCACTGGGATATGCAAAACTTGCATGCAGTATGTAAAAAACTCAGGATAATTGGGTCTCAATCCTAACAGTACCTTCCATACAAAATCTGTGTTATCTTTATTTGTTTTGGAGTTCTGAACTGCCTCTTTCACCTCATCCGACATTATACCATGTAAAACTCTGAAATCAGCAGTAGGTACTTTGTGTGACAGATGAATCTTTTCCTTTTCTTTTCAAACATCGACACAAGTCGCCACAACAATTTTAATTGGCTCAAACCATAGTCTTCTTAAATTGCAGAAAAAAGGAAAAAAATGCCACTTTATGCGATAATTATGCACTTTGTGCATTATGCTGCAAAACGACCCGATTATGCGTTATTATGCAGGGTGCATACGTCCTCTGGAAGGTTTAGTGATGACTCAACTTTGAACCGTTTTAAAGCCTTTCTAAAAATTATGCAATTATGCGAGTGCATAATCTGCACATCTCTAGTAATAACTATATCAAAAAGATTAGGGTTCTTTTGTCACTCAACGAATATATAGGTACATCAGAATAAATAAGAATTATCAAAAGTCGTCAGCTAAGCGATTCATTATTGCGTTATTATAAATTTGTCTCTTCTGAAAAAATATGATGAGTGGAGATACCCGGTTTTGCTTCTAAAACCCTCATAATATGTAGATTTATATGGGAGATGTCATTGATCGTCATTTCCCAGCCAACTGGACGCCGTTTTTTCTCGATCATACGGTATAAAATAACGTAAGACAACCGTATCACAGTGGCCTTTGAAATAATATTTATTATTATTTTTTCTTTGTGAGACGTACAGTTGAAACGTACAAAACTAAATATTTTCCAAAGTGCTTTTTTGTTTGGAATTTTTTATATTATAATTTATAGATAGTATTTTGTATTTATAAATTATGAAGTTTGTTTTCATATTATTTAGGTAGGTATGTTAAATAGCAGAAAGTCTAGTTCTAAAATAGATGGTTGCCTCTAAATGCCATTTTGTATTAGGAAATTCTAAATAGATAGGTATTTTACGAATGATGTTTATCGTTTACTTATGTTTATTTGCTAAAGTTCTTTTCACCTAACTTTTCCCAATATAGCGGATTCATCATAATTTCTGCCAAGTTAGTTTTTGTTTTTAGTTCAAATGATAATAAACACGGCTGGACTTGACTTAAACGAAAATATAAACTTATTTTTCCATATTTTTTTATTATTTATTAAATTGTTCTTTTAACTGCTGCTAAAATGTATTTATTAAAAAGTGGCGGAATAACCCAAAAGTAGAAAAGTTAATTAAATATTACAATAAATTAAATGTGTTAATATATCTTAAAAATCGAAATATTTTTAATAAGGACTTGTAACAGAGAGTCTACCTCAGAACCATTTTTTTTGTAAATTTTAGTTTGAGCTGATTTTTGTAGGAATAGTTAGATGAGAAGCACTATAGCTTGAACTAGATTTAACCTCTATTTACAGTGGTGTGCTTAAAACAGTCTTAATACTGACATTAATAAAGAAATATAATTTCGAGATAAATGCACATAATTATAAATAAATAGTTAATAAATAATCAGGCTTAGATATTAAATAATTATGAAAATATACTATTAAACAAAATAAAAATATAACAGTCGATTAAAAATAGTGTTAAAACTCGAACAACTAAAGTTTTGATTATCACTAAAATCTAACTCTCAACGTATAAATAAATAAACTTTGACGATAAACAAAAATATTTAGAGTGTAATTTAAATTTTAGTCTTACGTGTATATTTTTACAAAAACCCAGTACTATCTTACATCAAAGACTTCTGTGTTTTGACAAGCTTAAAAACTAAAGGTACCTGTTTATTTTCGCCGAATCATTTGGACAGGACTTTCAGGTGGCGATTCGACGGAGTGATCATGCTTCAGGGCTTTCTTGGTGCTTTTAAAATTCGATCCTAATTTTTTCAAGGGTCTCGGGGATATACTGGACTCGACGTTTTGGGAGTCTGTTTGATTCATCCAAACATTTCTTGATGAATCGTTCACTGATACTACAAAACCAAATTTCAAACCTCATTTCTCACGTTTGTATAGGCTTGGTGCATTATCCGCCCGTGCTGCCACCGCCCGAGAATATCGTAAATAACGAACACATACAAATACACGGGTTTAAATAGCGAGTAAACGAAAAAATTAGTATATAATTATTCTAAAGTGTTATAAAGTATAATCACAGCTTAAGTAAAAACCAGCTCGGACAGTGTAGCGTGCCGCTTTGATCTTTTTACGCTCGGATTTGCGATTCGAAAGAGGGGGAACACTAGAGCGGCGAGCTCTCTCGCCAAAACCAATAGCCGCGTAAGCGCCAGTCAGCCCAGAGATGTATTCAAAAAAAAATTATTCGACTGGTGCTAGAACATAATTTAGATACACGTTTTTTAAATTGTTGACTTTAAATAAATATGCATTCTCAAAGAAAAACATTTAAAAAACAAATTAATTAATTTATTTCTAGAAATAACAGCAAAATGAAATAAGTACATTGATTACTTATAGTTATTTACGAATGTTTCTAAATTAGGAGCTTTCGGTTTTTGTTTGCTACATTTAAGTTCTTAGTAATATTCTTTAAGGTATAATAATTTCTAACTTTTGCGTATAAATTTAACAAAAAATACATTATAGGAAAATTTTGATTGATGGTTGAATTTAATTGTCTGAAATAATTTAACGAATTTACATAATATATTTTCATTTAAGAAAAGTTCTTCAAAATTGTTCTGAAAAATTTTATAAAAAAACTTTTTTAAAAACAAGTTTTTATTTAAATACACTAAAAAGAATAAAATAAACTTTTTCTTTAGAACTTTTATTATGAACTTATAACGTCATTACACAATTTTAATATTATATAAAAGCTTGTCGCGAGATTTGAGTGTACATTTGCACTCATAAAAATCTGGTACGACAACTTTATCTTGTAATTCCTGGTCTAGTGGTCTATCATAACAGAAACTTTGAGAATGAGACAGGGTAGACACAGGTTTTAGTTAATTTACTTGTTTATCGATGTAGAGAAATCTCGCGACAAGCTTTTATATATCTAATATTAAAATTGTGTAATGACGTTCTAAGTTTATAATAAAAGTTTTAAAGAAAAAGAGTTTATTTTATTCTTTTTAGTGTATTTAAATAAAAGCTTGTTTTTAAAAAAGGTTTTTTTATAAAATTTATCATCTACTTTTTAGTTATGCTTGTTTCTCAGTGCCACACACTTAAACTCAATTTTTTTTTCTTAAATAACTTTCTATGGGATCCTAATAATATGTATATCGATTTTCATTAAAAGAACTTGAAAAAAACGACAACTGTCAAATTTGACAGTTCAAAGAGACAAATAAAATGAAAACCGACTATGGGGTAGGGGTCATCCTATATATCAATTTTTATCAAAATCGGACAACTTTGAAATTTTTTTTGACAGCTGTCAAATTAGACAGCTCAAATTTTTTCTTTCATTTTAGCCCATGGCCATCCTACATATCAATTTTTATGAAAATCGGTTGACTTTGAAATTTTGACATGTCATTAAACTGTCATTTTTTCAAGATGGCCGCCCATATATTTTTTTTCATATGTATATACCCACAATATACCTATACAGGTTGTTAAATTGTTCATTACTCGCGGCAAGAGTTTTATGGTTGAAATAACCTCGGCCCGCTCGTCGATAGACGACGCGACGGAACGAGTCGGCAGAAAAATCAATAATGCATACGTTCTCAATAGGCAGTGTTGCCATTCTGTTTCCCTATAAGTAACTGTCGAGTTAACAACCTGTATATATATATAATTTCAGCCCGATCCATTCATAAATAGAATTTTAAAAAATCAAAAACCTCAAAAATGCCGCCATTTTGACAGCTGTCAAAAATTCGGGTCATGCCTTGCAAAAAAATGTATTGTCATCGGGACTGAACCTACATGCCAAATTTCAATCTCCTACAATAAAAGGAAGTGGTTTTAATTTAGCTTACAAGATTTGCCCCGAACAAACATACATACATACATAGATAGTTACATACAAAGCAAGTTAAATAAAAGCTTATAAAACTAGCCTCCAATGAGGAAACTAAATAAAAAAATGGTCACTTGGCATTAGCAAGCCTCCAAATAAGTAGTCTTCATCGTTTTGAAAAGCACTAAAGTGTGAATATACTTTTGAATTGAACATTAATTTTGAATTGAATTGAAAATTAAACAGACTATATTTTGAATTATTTCCATAATTATTTGTGCACCAGCAGCCGCACATTCCGGAAAACATTTTCCCATTCCATCAATAAAAATAAAATTGAAATAAAAGCACAAATACCTATGGTTAAATATAAGAAAAAAAATCGAATTAAAATCTTCCGTAATACGGCCCTACGCGCCACCGGTGGAGGCTATGCATCGACTGAATGAGGCTGACTGTCGGTCGCTTAATTCAGTTAGCGCATCGTCGGAGTGGGGCGTTTTAAATTCGAGCGTGGGAAAAATTGGCGAATGTCAAAGCTATGTTATTCTGTAAGCTGTGGTATAATAATAATAATAGCTCCCGTATATAGTGTTTAACGCCTTGGGAGTAGCAAGGTACAGCTTGCTATACTAGAGCCTTTCGGTATACAAGAAAGGTAATGTGGCTAGCACTACGTTTCAACCGCCTATTATTACCTCAGGATTGTGAATCCCAAGTACTCATTTAAGGCTGAGTCGACCTAGGTACCCAAACTATTTTTATTTTAATAAAAATAGTCGGCTCATGAAATGCCAGGTGTGGGAATCGAACCCACACCTTGAGATTGGTAGACGAGAGCCTGTACCTCTACGCCACCGGGCACCTTCGTTATAAAGTATAATTTGTGGAAATTTTAAACAAAAAAATAAATAGGTAAATATTTTGATATCTTCAGAAGGTCTAACTTGCATTATAATTTATTATATTCCAGTTAAAACATTTTTTTAGATGAGTTCAACTACGGTAGCGAGCATAGTTGTATCACCGGTTTTGCTAGTGGGGCATAATTGGAGCTATTTCGGCTATAACGACAATTTTTAAAGGTACATATTTATAATTTTAGATGTTCATAAAACAATTAATCACTAGTTGATTAAAAAAGTATACCATTAATATTGCAAATTATATTTCATCCTCTCATAGTATATTATGTCTATTTAATTTTTAGATTATGTAATGAGCACTTTGTTTACTCACTTGTTTCGTCGAACTGCTTGAATCCATTTTTGCTATCGACTATTGATCAAATCGGTGTAAGAAATTATGAAGCTATAAAATGCTCTTTCGGGAGAGTTCAATATCCGGGAAAGTTGAGTTATTGAATGTTATTGCGCCCAACAACACCCTAATTACGCTCTCCTTTACGCGTTAACATTTTTTTGAGCAATTTTATTAACATTTGAAATTGTCACAACACAACAAGACGCCTAGTTCGAATTCCTTTTTCATTTATTTTTTACTACCCGAAACAACGTTACATCACACAAACCTCGTACCTGAGTGTTTTATAGTCTCAATAACTGCACTAGCAAAAAACTAAAATACTTAAATATTACGACAAAACCCCGATTTCAATATTAATTTAATGCGATCGACATGACAGCGGCGTGGGCTATTTATTGATAATTTCCGATTTCTGCCGTAGAGTACGCTGCGGTCGGAATTTGTTGAAATCAACTGAAATGCACCAAGACTATAATCTCTCCACGGAGAGAATGTCTATCTAATTTCGACAGCCGAAAGACAACACGACAGATATAGGCAACAATACAACAAAAAAAACTACCTTTGAGTAAAAAACACTGAATAAAACTATCAAGCAAGAATTCTAATACTATTTTTATATTTATGTATTAGGGAGGGAATACCATCTTTTATCAGCTTAGGTAGACCCATCACATGACCAATTTGAACCTGATTTTAAATTTTTGAGGATTTATTGGACTTTTCCGTAATCTTATTGCCTGGTTATTTTATAGCTGATTCTATCCAAAGTGTACAAATATGAAAAGACATCGTGTTAGGACTTTAATTAGAGTGTAAAGATTATTGTTAATCTTAAAATGAGTCTCCAAAGGCAAAAAAAACATAAAAAGCTAATGTAACTACTTTTCATTTGTAAGTAATTTATATATTAACGAGTAGTAAACGAATCACTATTGAAATTCGTATCGTTTGCAGTAGTTAGTATATAGACAAATTCGTAGGTATTGGAAAGGCTCAAGGGAATTATATTTTGTGCGACATTTCCCTACTTTATTGTCGACCCTTCTTCAGGTACTATATTGTTTATATACATTTGATATCAATTAAACTTTTAGTTACGTAATCGAAGGCGCGACTTTTAAATTCATTGTTGTCAACCATGGACATATTCGGCGCCGGACTGACTAACTGGAATTTAAATTTCGCGCAGGGGATTCATGTGGTAGCTCTGCTGTCAAAAATATCAAGTTGCCACATTTATTTATTTATTTCCTGACATTGTCATTCGTTTTGACACTTTAGTTTTGTATTACGAGTTTTTGATTTAAATAAATAATGTTGTGATACTTTAAGCTTAAAAATGTTTATTCGCAGACCTTTATAGCCGAACACTGTTCTTTTTAGAACCTCTTTTAGTGCGAAGTGTACAAATAATAGCCGTAAAAAACTCAGCGCAACTTATTATAGTCTGTCCAACGACAAAATCCTTGACAGTGATAGATGTGTCTGTCATTTTAATTTCAAAGTAGTTTATTTTATTTTACAAAGAAATAAGTTGGTACAATTGGAACGCATAATTAATATATTTAAATCATTATTTAAATTTTGAATGACAAGTGATTACTTCAAAATATTGTGTAAAAAAACTGTATAAAACTGAAAAAATCTAATCTTGGTTAATTAACTTTAATCTTAATTTTTTCTCCTAATACTAAAATGTATTATTTACCTATCGTGTGATGTTATTTTACAGATACTCCAGTTTTTGGTACCATATACGAGATGGTATACAACTTTATTTGTGGCTAATACAACTCTCTGGCCATAGTCTCTGGCAAACTGTGTTTTTGGCAGTCTCTGGGCACCGAATATTAACTGTAAACTATTGTCTGGGTCAACACTTAATTTTCCCTCAAGTTTTCCTCCACTTAATTTTAAAAAACACGAAACACAAGTAAAAACACAGTCCAAAATGCAAAATGCAAAATATTTATCATTTCTATTTGACACAAAATTATAACCTATAATTTGGCAAGAGTTTGACAGCTCTCAAAAATCTTACGTCGAGTTCAGACAGCTCTCAAAAATCTTAATCGGAGTCCGTTTGTCGTTCATCGTTGCGTCAAACCAATAATATTGAAATATGATCTGTCGTTTTTGAAATAAACCAATAAAACTGGTTAAAAACAACAAGAGACGATGAATGACGTATTTACTTATAAACCCATCCATAGATACCTTAAAAAATATTAGAAACTTTTTTTTGTGAAATAAATGGATTGGTATGGAAGTCATCTGCTTTTTTTCTGTCATCGTCTGTCGAAATCTTACCTGAGAAAAAAAACAGAGTATAGCTTATCGCCATGGTACAAAGAAAACAAGGTATGATCGATAGCGGCTCCAATTTCGTTAAGTTTGCGCATACCACCTGTGACGTCATACGCCATACAAAAAAATATCCATATTGTACAATTGCCACTAATAAAAAAAGACCTAAAGTAGGGAAGAATTAGGACATAACCCCAAAAGTTATGTCAAATCATCGAGCTTGACATTTGAAAAATTATTTTCACATTTTGACACAATCAAATTTCACAGATGACACAATCTGTTTGACAATTTGAAATTGGCGCGCAGAGCGTGTCGACCAATGGTGCCGTTTATCACCTGTGACGTAGTGACCAACCTGCGCAATATCATACCTTGTATTCTTTGTATCATGGCTTATCGCTATATATTAGATTAGAATATTTTGAACAGGAAAGCTGTAGTAATGGCCCTTTATGTCCCTTTGCTATTAAGAAGGTGAGTTTTGTTGATATAAATAATAAGTGTTTATATATTTATAATTAAATTATTTTTGTTTCCTAAAATATTTTGATTAAAAGAAAATATGTAAAAGTGGGCATCGCTGTGCCGGTCAAGCTTAATCACGTGGCTAAAAGTTTATTTGGTATGAACTATACCACTGTACCTATATCTTTACATACTGTATTATTTAGTTAAGCTTTTTCATTCTATTTTAAACCGGCACTTTGACAAATAATTTTTAACAATTATTTAGCGTTATTTCATTACTTATTTTAAGACCTACTTTTAATTATTCCATTTGTGTATTTATCGCTATACCGACTAGCTTACAAATATTAAAAACTGATTGAGACTCTTAAGAATACGCGGGAGAGAGGGAAAAGAAACTATTATTAAAAGAAAAAATCAATCCTTTTTTGGGGCCGGAATACCAGAATTCCACTTCAGTCAGTACTACATCAAACTGATGACGGTGTACATACAAAAAAAATCCCTAAGTTTATTTGTTTAAGTCGTCTGTGTTTTGGTAGTGTAAGCGGTTAGATGAATTTTCGTCGGAATTTGGAATACAAAATGTTTTAGGATTTCGATTCTGTTTTATTATTAAAATGTGCTTCTATACTGCCTGAAGAAGCAACAATAAAGTCGCGAAACGTCGCACAAAACATAATTGTTTCCTTTGAGCCTTCCCAATGCCCACGAATTTTTTTATACCGGGTGCGTCGCAAAGGTGGCTCACCCCTATAACTTTTTCATTTTTTCAGATAAAAAGACGAAATTTGGTATGTTAGTATATGACATAAATTAGGATTGATTTTAGTTTGGTCAAAGAAAAGATAATTAAAAAAAAATAAATTAGGATTGATTGACGTATTTAATTGTTTTCGGCCACTTCAAGTTTCACCGGAAATGATTACAACTTCTGATTTTTAAATGGCACCATAGGTCACCCTCGGTATTTTCTTACTTTATTCGAGAGAAAATACTACTCTAAATAGAATGACATATCATATGTCAACTTTTGACATTTTTGAAAATAGTTTATTTAAAATTGCAACATGCGGTTCAGAGCGACAATTTGACTCGAAATACCAAGTGTGTGGTATGAAATTATTCGTAAAAAAATACATTTTCCAAATATGCTAATGAGCCACCCCCGTTGCATTTGAAAAAATTGAGATACAATTAAAAATACGATTTGGGCATCTTTTAACCGGCCAGGACAAAACATTAGACAATCAAATCTATTTTTCCAAGGCTCCTTGACTAAAAATTAGTGTGTTTAACACAACCATGGCACTCTAGATTGAGATTTAAAATAAAATGTTGTTTTAAGCCAAAATGTCAAAAGTTACCATATGATATGTCATTCTATTCAGAGTGACATTTTCTACCGAATAAAGTAAAAAAATACCGAGGATGCCATTTGAAAATCAGAAGTTGTAGTCATTTCCGGTGAAACAGGAAGTGGCCGAAAACAAGTGAATACGTCAAATAGTCCTAATTTATGTCATATACTAGCACACCAAATCTCGTTTTTTATCTCAAAAAATAAGAGTTATAGGGGTGAGCCACTTTTGAGACGCACCCGGTATAACTAATTATGTTTATATTCTTTCATTTCTGGATTTATTTACTATTCGGAAGTAATTAGCACATGTCAATTTAATTTAGTTGTTCAGTAGCATAATGATATGTATATTTTTATATACCGGCTGCGGCTCAAAAGTGGCTCACCTCTATAATTTTTTTTATTTTTTCAGATAAAAAAAACGAGATTTGGTATGTTAGTACATGACAAATTAGGACTGACTGACTTATTCAATTGTTTTTGGTCAATTCGTGTTTCACCGGAAAATTCTGGCACTCTAGATTGAAATTTATAATACGATTTTTTAAGCGAAAATGTCAAAAGTTGACATACGTCATTTTCTATCCAATAAAGTAAAAATATAGCGAGAGCGCCATTTAAAAGTCAAAAGTTGTAGTCATTTCCGGTGAAACAGGAAGTGACCAAAAACAATTGAATACGTTAATCAATCCTAATTTGTCATATACTAACATACAATCTCAGTTCATCAGTTTTTTTTTACTGAAAAAATAAAAAAGTTATAGGAGTGAGCCGCATTTTAAGATGCACCCGGTATTTATTTTTATTGGAATTATTTTTTTAACAATCAAATTATTGAGTCTATGCTATTTTATATTTTAACATGTTTTAAATAAAACAGCGAATCAAGGAAGATTTCTACAGACGACTCCTAAAAATGAAAATACATTTGCCTGTGAATTAAAATGACAAGAGACAACTGTCATTGCCAAGGATCGTCTCGTTGGATATTTATTATATATTGAAGTACCATCGCGGTGGCGCTAATTTTGTTGATATACTCGTTCCTTAGTCTTTCTATTCAATGCGTTAAAGTAGCACATTGTTGCTGTCACATATTCTTATTTTAACTGGCTATTACTTTTAGGTTACGTCTAAAGTATATACCGTATGATCGAAAAAAAACGGCGTCCAGTTGGCTTAGAAATGAACATCGATGACATTCCCTATATAATTTACCATATAAAATGACAGCGATCTTCATTTCGTAGCCATCGCTGACGCCGTTTTTTTTCGATCATGTGGTACTAAACTGTATAAGCTCTTTTCAAATGAAAATAACCCTATAGTTACCTCTAAATTTTGGATCGACCCTCTGACCTTTATGCAAATGACTATGCGAATCTAATAAAGCAGCCGCCAACATAGAGGAATTATTGCTACACGAAATGCCGTCAGGGCATGAAGTATTCGAGGATCCCGATGGATAAAATGGACTTGCCGACGGCAACGGACTGTAAACTTTGGCTATGAACTCTTCATAAGTCGAACTATATTTATGTTTTGTCACAACAGTTTCCAAAGACTTTGCACGTTCTTCATAACTGGAAAAAAAAATTATCTTTAATTCAGCGCCCAAATCTTTTACTGTTCAGGTTAAGACAGTCTATTCTTGCAACCTCTAGCCCATATATGTATAAATAAAATATACTCAGTGTTCCCTATTTAAACCCGTATGCTGTTTCCGTGCCACAAGAAAAAGACAACATAACTCAGCTCCATATTAATACTGCATAGGTCTATTTCGGACACAATAGATCTGTAAGGTCGCAGTGATTAACCCCCCTCTCACTAATTCTAAACAGGCCTATTTCATCCGGATATCGATTGAACCGCGATTGCGCCAAACTCAAAAGTTTGGATTACTTTGGAAACTATTTTTTTGATATTTTTCCAACTCCATGATAATGTGATATAAATAATAACTGTTAAGAATCAAATGGTACCACCATGGCTTAAACATATCAGTCCTTGAAAAAGCTAGCTGCGAGAGCGCTGAAGTAATGATTACTAAATCCTGCTTAAGATAGGCTGGCCACGTATGCAGGATGCAAGAAAACCGCCTACCGAAATCTCTTCTTTATGGTAAGCTTATAGAGGTGGGAATTCTAGTTCCTTGGGTAAAACTAGTTCCTTAGTTCTAGTTCCTTCAGAGGAATAGTTCCTTGACTAGGTCTTTAGTTCACAATAGTTCCCGACTAACATTGATATCCCCTTGCTTGCTAATGCGTTTCGTTGTCACTCAGAACTATTCACAGTATGATTTGTATAATTTTTATAATGTACGGAGATACAACGAGACGTGTAATTGTGTATGTTAAAAACATATATGTAAGTTTTATTGCAAATAAAAAAAATAAAAAAACTCAAATCAGAATTTAAAAAACTATATCACAAAAAAATTGGAGCAAATATTACAAAAAGTTTAAGAAAAAATACATTTTTTCCTCACTTCAAGGTTTTTGTTTTTGTCTAAAAATTCAGAATATCTACTTCGTTTTATAAGATATTTCTTATTTTTAGGGACCTAAAGTGAAACATTCCCATAAAATATCTAAAAAACAAACTAAAAATCAAAAACAGCATCCACGACAATTTTCTGTGGTAATTATGCCGCGCAGGCTGTGGCAATAGACAAGTCCGAATCCATCGTCGTTGCCTTGTATTATATCTCGGATCTGCCGACTGAATAGATTCCCGTGAACTAGTTTTTTAATAGTTCCTCTATGTCCGGATTCGATAACATACGGCTGGCACTCCCCACGCCTGCCTAGCATCAATCGCGCTGGCTGATCCATACGTAAACTAGTCTTTTATTTAGTTCCTCTAGTTCCTTTAGGTCCGGATCCGATAACATACGGCATACGGCTGGCACTCCCCACTCCTGCCTACCATCGGGTTACGCGCGCTAGCCGATCCGTCGCCGCCGCATATTCTATATTGGTCACAGTCTCGATCCCAAAATAGGTCCTGAGGAACTAGTTCTTTGAGAAACCAGGAACTAGTTCCTTTCATTCCGGGATCGGAATAGTTCATTGGAACTAGTTCGTTCACGAACTACACACCTCTATAAGCTTATAGAGGGTAAGCGGAAACAGGGTGGACAACTCAAAAGATACAAGGATATTTTCCATGAAATCTTAAAGGGGATAAGTTGCAGCATCAGTGGGAGGAAGCAGCGCACAATAGAACGCAATGAAGGAGAATTGTAAACTCAGTTAACGACAACCAAAAAGTAAAGAGGCAACAAAGTAATGAGATTTTTGAATGTCCGGAGTGCAGAAGAGAGATAATATCACGTATCAGGCTTTTCAGTCACAGAAAAGCTCATGAAAGAAAACGCCTTCAGTACCCTTTAAAAACACCGACCAATGAAAACTTATTCAGGTGAGGCATGCGCAATTAAATGAATATCCGGGCGAAATAGACTTATGTAGAATTCCATATTTATCTTTCACTGTTTGGGCCTTACTTTTTAGAGATTAGGCTGAGTATATTTTATTTATACGTATATGCTCTAACCAAACTTACTATTGTTGATAAAACTGGTAAGTCATTCTTTTAGATCTGCTAGCACAAACAACTGTGGCTCTTACTAGGCCAGCTAAAATGCTACTTTCTACTATAGCCTCGTTAAACAAAACGCCGAAATAGGGTACCTAAAATATTAAGAATATAAATCTGACAAACTTGCAAAATTTAACGGACTTACGTCTGCCTTACAGTTCACTGTAACCCTATTTAAATTATTTCCTAAAGGATAAATCACTATTAGTATATCACAGAACTCGGTAGGAATGATGTCTCTCCTATAATCTCTATTGTGTTCAGACCAAACAATATGAACTTCGTCATTTCCTAAATGTCTTGTCTGAAATTCAAGATGCATTCATATTATTTGACTTATTATGGCTTTACCGGGTACGTCTCGAAAGTGGCTCACCCCTATAACTTTTTTATTTTTTCAGATAAAAAACGAGATTTAGTATGTTTTAGTATACGATATAAATAAGGATTGATTGACATATTCAATTGTTTTTGGTCACTTCCAGTTTCACCGGAAATGATGACAACTTTTGTTTTTTTAATGGCACCCTCGGTATATTTCTACTTTATTCGATAATAAATGACACTCTGAGTAGAATGACATATTATGTCAACTTTTGACATTTTTGCTAAGAGTGTCATGGCTGTGTTAAAAACACTTGATTTTTAATAATGGAGCCTTGGAAAAATATATTTGAACGTCTAATGTTTTTCGTTTTCGTGTCTTGTTCTGGCCAGTTAAAAAATGCAAAAAATCGTATTTTTAATCGTTTTTTTATTTTCCATTATTTTTGATCCATATCTCAATTTTTTCAAATGGAACAAGGGTGGCTCATATTTGAAAAAAAGCATTTTTACTAGTAATTTGGTACTATACACTTGGTATTTCCAGTTAAATTATCGTTATGAACCACATTACAATTTCAAATAACGTAAAATGTCAAAGTTAACATAATACTATAAGCCATTCTATTCAGAGTGTCATTTATCGAATAAAGTAATAAAATACCGAGGGTGTCATTTAAAAATCAAAAGTTGTAATCCTAATTTATGTCATATACTAATATACCAAATCTCGTTTTTTTACCTGAAAAAATACTTGAACTTTTGAGGCACACCCGGTATAAACTATATGCAATATTTTTGTATTTTTATTTTATTAGAACTACTTCATTTTCATGTCAGTTAGATGTAAATCTAGTAATAATCTAAATCTCGTTTTTTATCTGAAAAAATAAAAATGATTAATAATTAATAATTTTTTTTTGTGAGTCACTTTTGAGACGCACCCGGTATAAACTATACGCAATATTTTTGTATTTTTATTTTATTAGTACTACTTCATTTTTATGTCAGTACATGTCAATCTAATTCAAAATAATTGTTTTGCAATACTATTCAATCTCTTATCATAACCCCACTTTCTACATGATAATTGAAAATTGCAAACATTTTGGTGGTCTGTGTACTGAAATGTATTAATAGGAATTATTTACCTTACTAAGTACAGCTTCTGCGCTATCACCATGCATTCTAGTAGCCACATGAAATATAGCTTCAAGAAAGCTTGTTGCGACATACGGGGCTGTCATGCCAGTGGAGCCCTGCTTTTGTAAACCGCCCAAAAATCCAGTGTGAGATTCCAACTCAATTTCCCAAGCTAAAGTCGACAGAAAATTTTCGTACGCCGCACTTCCCGACTGATTGGACAAAATAGAATTTTTATCTTCTTGTCCTGGAGCCACGTAAATGATCGCAAACTACAATAAAACAAAGATTACATTCAGATATAGAACTAAATATAGAGGGAAATAATTTAAAATACTTTATGTGTCTCTCTGCAGCTTTGATTGTCTAAATTTCGTAGTTCTCTTAGCAGTCTATCGTTCTTATCCAATAAATGAACTTGATTTCTTCTGTCCCACCCAGACAAACCCAACTGGGAAAATAAGAGACGGCATTGTTGGAACGCGTTCTGTTCAATATTTCCAAAAGATCCTGGAAAATTTAGATAAAAATTAGTTATTTCCCAAAATTCTTAGGTTACCATTTTTAAAATCAATAGATACAGTATACCATCGAAACTGCGGTATCGATTTTAACATGCAAGACAGTGATGTAGACAGCTTAAATGAAAAATCAAATATTTTAAAAAGAGGTAAAAGTTAGGCTGAGATACATTTCTTCTATGCAGTATTGCCGGATTTTGCATCATAATTTCAAACCGCACAAGTAGGTGTTTACGAAAAATTTTGTATCTATGGTTGGAACTTTATTTCTCTCAATTAGTTACTCGTTTTACTACAGCTGTAATAGATTCTTAAACAACTAAAACAAAATTAATCTAACAGAAATGACCCTTATTGAATATCTCAGATATATTATCTTCGTTTATTATTTTATTTTTCGTACGAATCGGCAACACTGTATGCTGCTTTTTATTTTGTTTCTCTGTCTGTCAACTGGTATATATTTATCTCTGTTGGGTGCATTAAAGTACAGACCACGGAAATAAATTGACCGGGGCTACTCGGTGGTATGATCGAAAAAAAAAACGGCGTCCAGTTGGCTGGGAAATGACGGTCGATGACATTTCTCATATAAATTTACCTATAAAATGACAGCGATCTTCATTTCATAGCCATCGCTGACGTCGTTTTTTTCGATCATACTGTATATTCACTGCACCCACATTGCTTATACAATATGTCCAGCGAGAGTATATGAATGCAATGTGCAATACGAAATTTGGGGTTATATTATTTAGCTGTTTCAACAAATACTTCATAAACTAAATGACATAAAATACACTTATAACTTTTTATTCTTAATATAAGCCTGTAACCAACGGTAACCCGTAATATAATGTTAATAAATACCTTGTTTTAGAGAAGATGATTCTGATTGAGTGCTATTCTTTCTGCTAGGAACAGAGTTCGGGTTTATAATCGGTTTGCCCAACATAGAATTCGATTGCTGCATCAACCTCGCCTCCTCAACTTCAACATTCCTCTGACTTACGATAGAAGCTATAATTTCTTGTTCAACTTCAACAAAAATCGGTGGTGAAGCTGGTTCGTTCAGTTTAATATTTGGAAACTCTAAACATTCTGGACTAGTATGACCCAGATATTGAAGCAACTGAAAAATAAAAATTGAAATTGATTAAAGAGCTCCAAAATTTAGGTTAGTAAAATTTACGTCGTCCAACTGATCTAGATCTGGTGCAGCATTTGAAATATGAGGCAAAACGTTGGGTGGTCTATTTCTCATTGCTCTCTGAGGCAAATTGTGAGGGATTAGAGTGGCACTCATTAAACTTTCCGGTTGGATGTTTCCATAAACGTCACCGGAGGCCCAAGGTGTCGGTAGAACATCTTCCTTCTAAAACACAATTTATTTCATACAGAAATTCGACATATTTGAAAACAATACCTCTGGAATACTCTCGGGTGTTCTATATAAAATAGAGGCATCCCAACTGGCTTTTCCTGATATATCCCTAAGAAGTACTCTCACTTGTTTGTCAGCAGTCAGTAATCCAGCTGTCGCTCCACCACCAGGTGAATCAAGTGCAGGTAACTCAATAAGACTAGCAATCACATTTTTGGTTAAAATGAACAACTATAAATAAGCAGTTAAGTTATTCTGACACAAACTTTTTAAATTTCTTACTTGTATATTCGGCACTGAAAAAATACTACTAGACAAATCGTCAGAGGAAATATTAGGTACGTCGTCGTTTTCAGCCACTAGTGAGCTTAAACGTGCAGCCCCTATAGCCATGGGAAAATGTCCCAAATGATTTACTAGGTGTGCTAAGACAGTCTCTGCACATAAAGTGACAGTTTTCTGACATTCTTGAGCTTTTGACTGACCCCCTATAAATTTTGTAAAATAATTTTTATATAAATCGTCTTCTAACAACACTCACCTCTATTTGATGATCGTCCAGTTAATGCAGAGCGACTGTTATAAAAATCATCCGCAGATACGTTTGGGTCGAAATCTTCGTTTACAGTGGACTTGTTTTGGGCCACTGTGTTTGAACCAGCCAGATTTCCTGTAACTATCTTGTGCAATGCCTACAAGCAGAATAAATATTTGTATAATCTGTCCAGTGGGAGTATATATTTATTCCCGCGTTAGTTTTCTTCGTTTTGACATTTGACATCATGTATAGTAACACTTCCCTACTATCCGTAATAGGGTTATTTTGATTTTTAAGATATTTATATTTAATGTATTTTAAACATTATTTAACTGCTTTTTTTAATAAATAATCAAAAATACAAATTGTTCAAATAACAGATAACACAACATATTTTACTTTTGAAGCCCTGTTCTCAAAAGGTTCTAGATCATCATAGGCCCATGTCCTGGATCATATTATAGGATCATAGGCAAAAGGTCCTAGATCATATGATCTAGAAAAAGGTAGTTAAAAATTTTCAAAACTAATAGATAAAAGAAATAAATTTTTGATTGGAATGTTTGGCTTCCCACTAAAACGTATAATTGTTTTGGGTCGCATACGTTGTACGAGATCTGGCGCTTCTATAGCGGTTGCTAAGAACAACCGCAAACAAGGACAGAAAGAATTTTCTCTTGTCAAAGTCAGAATCTTCAAAAATTATAAAATCCTTTGATAAAATCTTTTAAAATTTAAACCGCCCCTATTGAAAAAATACCAAAAAGTGTGTTTAAAGCGTCCATTTTCAAAGTATTGCTATCTTGTAAGTTTAATTTAAATTTTTACTCAAATCTCTGATAATTGTGAAAAACTGACATTAAAAAAAACTTAAGCTGTGTGAATTGTGAACTACAAAAACCATTGTGGGGTAACGTCGGTTTCCAATGTTCCATAGGTATTTCATACATGTCCTTATATAAAATAAAGTTTCTTATATGCAACACACTGTGTTTTATTTATAAAATTACTAGCGTGTACCAGCGACTTCGTTCGCGTCGAATTAATCATTTGTAATGGTGATGATAAAGCAAAGCAAGAATTTCCATTAACATACAAACTGGCTAAAATTTTCTCACATTTATGTCAGCATGAGAAAAAAAAATATGGCGATATTATTATATAACTTAGTAATATTTGAGGGGTAGTTTCATCTCGTTGGAATTTGACTTTCGAAAAATCCGTTTGCCAAAAATAAGCTTTTTACGTCAAGCAGTTTAAACAGAATCGTAGTTAAGAAATTACCCAACTTTCTTCATTTTGTTTTTTAAAAAAATATCAAAATATGTAAAAAAAACAAATAAATTATGCTTGTCCAAGCGTTTTCCCGAAAGACTAACCATTTTTTAAATAACAAATATTGTAATACTTTAGGGGCGTTTTCACCCTCTCGGAATTTGAGATTCGAGAAACCCCTCCTTATCGAACCTCTACACCCCACACACACTTTAAACGTCAAGCAGTTTAAGCAGAATCGTGATTACTCAATGGTCATATTTTATAAAACACCTTGTATAAATTTATAAAAAATCTTAAAATATGTAAAACAACAAATAATAAAATATAAGTGTTTTTTTTAAGTTATTTTTTTCGAAAAACTCACCGGTTTTTAAATAAAAAATATTTTAATATTTGAGGGATAGTTTCACCCCCTCAGAATTTGAGTTTCGAAATATCCCTTCTTATTAAACCTCTACACCCTAAAGTCAATCTGTTTTCCAAAAATCAGCTTTTTACGTCAAGCCCTTTAAGCAGGATCGTGATTAATCAATGACCAGATTTTTCTGTATAACACCCTGTATACATTTTTTAAAAATCTTAAAATATGTAGAAAAACAAAATAAAATATACGTATTTAAGCGTTTTTTCGGAAACTTGGCCGTTTTTTAAATAAAAAATATTGTAATATTTGAGGGGTGGTTTCGCCCTCTTGGAACTGGAATTTCGAAAAATTCCTTCTTATCGAACCTCTACACCCTAGAATCAACCTGTATGCCAAAATTGAGTTTCTTACGTTGAGTGGTTTGAGCAGGATCGTGATTAATCAGTATGTCAGTCACTTAAGGATTTTATATATTAGTATAGAAAAGAATAATAAATTTGAATAAACCATATATTTGGCGACATAAATCCGGAAAAAGCCGAACCGCTCCGAAATTATCAAAAGCTTTGGGTTACGACTGTTGCAAGAATACCGCCAAATATTATCATTATAATATCTCATAGCAACCAACATAAACAATCACGTTTAATGATCCTTCAGGTGTCAATGTTTGATCAATAAGTTGTCAGAGAGATTCTAAGCTAAACAAATGGCAAATATTATAACTCCTAAAAACAGTTCAAGAAATATTAAAAATTCGTTTGAGAAGTTCAAAGACGAGGCCAGAGAACGAAAAAGAAATATTTTGTACTTAATATTAGGCTACCTGAGAGAAAATAAGTTAGATCTTACCGTAAATACTCTAGAAAACGAAGCAAAATTGGATCATAGGTATCAAATATGTGAAAATGTCGAACTCGATGTAATATTACAAGAATATCAAAGCTATTACTTCACGAAATTTCAAAAATATCCCAAAATCATTAGAAAATTGGAGGAAGATGAACAAAAAAGCTTAAATTATAAGGAAAAAAGAAGTAAAAGTGGTAAAAGATTGGCTCCATCGTTCATTCCAAAAAAAGAAGTTACCATTCAAAAGAACGACGGTCAGCAGACAGAAAGCGATGTAGATTTTCAATTTGACATAGTCTCTCTTAATAAAGAAAATTCCGGGAACAATAAAGAAATAAACATTCCAAAAAGGAGCATTTTCAAGACCGAAAATCCCGAAACGGAATACCATTCTCATCTTGAATGTGGAGACCTAGTGAACCAAATACGTAGTCAGATAATAACTGACGATACCAGAGTGAACTGGGAGGACTGTCTAGGTCTAGAAGGCGCAGTAGAAACATTAAAAGAAGCTTCAATATACCCTTTCCATTACCCAGAACTGTTTAAAGACATAATACCATGGAAGGGAGTTTTGTTACATGGCCCCCCTGGGACAGGTAAAACTCTATTGGCAAAAGCACTGGCTTCAGAATCTAACGCTACGTTTTTCAATGTAACTAACAGGTAAGAACAAGTATTTCTAAATCTTCTTCTGATTTAAGACATTGAAGTAGTAATGATCCCTTCATGAGAGACTACAGGGTGTTTAAAAAAACATACGGGAGATTCGTCACGTAAAAATAAGATTTATTCATTTTCATATCAACATAGGTCCGATTCTGCTTTGTTTCGTAGCTACAGGGTGTTAAAGTCTTAATAATCTTTCGATTTTTATAGTTTTCTTAAGTTCTTATTTAGTTTATAAAAACGTTCTAAAGTATTTTCAGAAATTTTCAGGATAAAAGTTACTATAAGTGCTATACAATATTTTAATGCTTAAAAAGTGTCAATAAATTCATCAGGGACGTGCATATGGGTTATCACTGGAATGTTTTTCTAAAAAAAAGCATGTACGCCAATGACTTTTCTTCTCTTATTAGCGAAATAGTGTAAACACTTCAATGCCAATTAAAAGCTCTCTTGATATTATGTCGATTTCGGCCTCCTTGATGAAATAAACGCAATTTTATTAAATTGCCTTGATCGATTTCGGCTTCCTCGATTTCGGCCTCCTCCAAACGCAATTTTATTAATTTGCCTTGATCTAAGTCTAATGGCAAAATAAAACACTAAATCACAACAATACACCAAAACACTTTTACTTTTACACTGGACGCGCGTTTCGCTAACCATGTTAGCATCATCAGCAGATGATTATAAACATAACTAACAGCTAATAGCAACCTTTAAAAAAATTTAATACCATTAACTTGCGAAAGTCTTAAATAAGTACTCATTGATTCCTCATCAAAAAATATGAAAAAAAGTTCCTATAAACATGGGTATGGAAATGCGTAGATTTAGAGTTACAAGATGTTAAAACTTTAAAATTAAGTTTTTTGTAATTATCTTAAATACATTATTTTTTATTTATTTTAAACTGCTGTAGGTTGGACTAATACTAATGATAACATGTAATAATATTTAATAATAAATTAGGTAAAATATATTTTTAATATATAATATATATTATAAATTTTATTTTTATTTTAATTTTATTAATAGCGATTAATAAAATGCGTTTATCTCATCAAGGAGGTCGAATTCGACAAAAATATCAAGAGATAACTTTTAATTGCCATTAAACGGCCTTCACAATTTTCGTGTCAAAAGAAAAAGTCAGTGGCGCACATGTTTTTTTTAATATTCCAGTGATAACCCATATGCACGTCCCTGATGAATTTATTGACACATTTTAAGCATTAAAATATATAGCTCTTATAGTAACTTTTACCCTCAAAATTTCATTCGAATCACTAAAAATACTTTAGAACGTTTTTTTTAACTAAATGAACTTAAGAAAATTATAATAAATCGAAAGATTATTAAGACTTTAACCCCTGTAGCTAGGAAACAAAGCAGTATCGGACCTATACTGATATGAAAAATAAATCTTATTTTTACGTGAAGAATCTCCCCACGAAAGATGACAATTGTTTTTTGAAACACCTTGTATAATAAGAAAATATTGTATTTTAGCGTTTTTATAAGCAAATGGAGAGGGGAATCCGAAAAACTGATAAAATATTTATTTGATTTAGCCAAACATCACGCACCGAGCGTAATTTTCTTTGACGAAATCGACTCTGTGATCTCCAGCGTGAACGACACTCAACACGAAGCAGCTAAAAGGTTCAAGAGTGAACTTCTAGTCAATCTTGATGGAATCATTTCAAATGAAGAGCACGTATTAATTCTAGCATCGACAAATTCTCCTTGGGACCTAGATAACGCATTATTAAGAAGGTTTGACAAGAGAATACTAATAAACCTGCCTAATAAAGAGACTAGAATTCAAATTTTAAATCAATACCTAAAAAATTCAAATGTAGTTATCTCCGATCAGGAATACATCGAGTTTGGAAATTTAACAGAAAATTACTCTGGATCTGATATAAAGATTTTGTCTAAAGAAATAACCATGTCAGTTGTAAGGGAGAATATCAAAACGGCACAGGTGAATCGCTTGAAAGTTATTAATAACCGAAAAATTGTATTTTCTGATGTGAAAATGGCGCTTCAAAAAACGAGACCGTCCGTCAACTCTATTGTATGCAGAAAATATTTTCAATGGCAAAATGAACACGGTTCTATCTAATGGAATTAAATCAATTATACATGATTCTTTCATTTCATTTACCCTTTATTTACCCTAAATATCTTTAAAAGCACATGGCTGATTTACTGATTTTAAAACAAAATTACAGATAAATACGCAACATTTTTAGGGATTTTTTTTTAAATTAATCATTAAATTTTATTATTTTTTTTACAATTTTTTTACGTGTATTTCCAGCCAAAACTTAAAATACGGAAAGAGAAACGTAAACCCCTATCCGAAAACATAATTTAGTATTTATACCTTTTTGCTTATATCACTTACCTAAGTATGTCTAAAAATTATTTTTGCAAAAAAAAACTTTTATACAGGATGAGTCTTAAATAAGTGCAAATATTTTCAGGGCTGGTAGATCTCGATAAAAGAAACATATGTTCTCTTTACCGTTTTTCAAATTAGTCCAAAATAACCGAATTATTTTACTTTGAAAATTTCCAAAAAAAAAATGATTTTTTGCTTAAATTTTGAGAACCACTGGATCTTTTCTGGGTTTTGTTTCTTGTAAATTTAATCTACACCATATTATCAAAAAAATATGTTTTTTAACTAAAAACTAAAGAAAATTCCATTTTATGTGTTTCTGAGTATACTACCCCTAAAAATATTTGCACTTATTTAAGACTCGCCCTGTATAGTCAAATATTGAAAAAACAGATATATGTGTATTTTAAAGTAATTGATTAAAGTGTAGCGTCAAAAGACTGGGGAATGACAATCAATGATATGATATATTTTGGCGAGGTCAATCTCTAGACGTCAGTTACTAAAGATTCACATAAAACTAAATTAACACTAATTTGAGAAAGATTAAAAAAAGATAGAAAGTTTCCAGACGCAACAAATCTATTTCCAAAAAAATATTTTTCTCTAATTTTAAACTATACCATTTAAAAATCATTTTTACTCAATATAAAAATAAATTACAACCTTTTTAAGACCAGCTGGCAGTAAGCGCCATTGAAAAATAATGAAGAGTACGGGTATGTAAGAAGCATCACCATGCAATCAGTGAGATCGAAAACTGTGATGGGCTGCCGAGAAGCATTGTCCTGGCTGCGTCAAGGCGGGGCTACTCTGTGCTGGGTGCCAGGCCACAGCAATATGGTGGACAATAAAGAAGCAGACAGACTCGTCAAAGAGGGGGCCAGGGGAGAGGCCATGGCAGATGACCACTTGTGACGATCAACACACTGAAGGAAACTATAGGGACTACAATCAAGGCCAAGCAGCAAGAGACGTGGCAACACATCCATCGTGAGATGGAAGATTTCCAACTACGATTACTGCAGAGAATGCGGAGAGGACGAAGAAACCATAGAGCACCTGCTGTGCCACTGTCCGGCACTGGCAAATACCGACGCTTTAAAACTTTAGGGCAAGGTTTTTTGGAGGGACTGGAGGAAGCAGCAGAGGCCTACATCACGTTATCTGTGCCAACATCAACGACATCGGGAACTTTGCAAAGAGCTGGAAGTGCTTTAACGCAAAGAAAGAACGTGAGTACAATAATACAGAGGTATCGCAATGGGCCCAAGGCCTCAGAGTTAGGAATCAAACATGATTCCAAGTCTAGAGCTTGACCTCCCTAACATTATCATAGATTGTCATTCCCCAGCCGTCTTTGACGCCATTTTTTTTCGGTATATCCAGTGAAAGAACGATCGATTTCGAAAGATGGCAGACGAAAATTGACAGAAAAAACAATTTCTTTTTAACATAAAATAACAGGTGACATCTATCGACGTCATATATTCTCATATTCTCTCGTTAGGCAAATTATACACTTACAGTAAATACTTGTAGTAGTAAGGAACTTCCCCGATTCTCGCCATACTCCGACGGAGCAAGCAACCTTTCTGGACCCAATTTCATGCACCATTCGCCTAAGCAAAGCAACAAAGCAGTGCACAACGATCTGTCGCTTTCTGTTGCTTTGGAATCTAAAAAAAATTTATTACTTATAAAAGTCTAAACTCATTTCTTACGTACCAAGAGGTGTACTTCTTAACAGGGTTGAACAAAGTTCACTTATGACTGCGTTTGCTGATCGAGGATATCGATTCCATAACAATACAGCGTAATCGCATAAGAGAAACAATAAGTCTGCGGCAAACTGGGCTATCATCTTATTATTGAACTAGAATATAGTGATAATGGTATATTGTAGATTATTTTTACTAATAAAAGTTTCGACGTATTTAAAACTTCTCTTATGGCTGGACGCACACAGAAATAGTTAAATAGTTTTAGTCAAAGCATTTTTGTCTCAGTAACTATATCACAAATCAATTGGACCAAATAATCCGAAAATTTTACGAAAAATTGCATTTTTCCTCACTTCAAGCTTTTTGTTTTTGTTTAAAAATTCAGAATATCTACTTCGTTTTATAAGATAAATCGTAATTTTAGGGACCTAAAGTGAAACATTCCCAAAGAAATAATTAAGAAACAAACTAAAAATCAAAAACTGTATCCACGTCAATTTTCTGTGGTAATTACGCCGCGCTGGCTGTGGCAATACACAAGGCCGAATCCATCGTCGTCGCTTTGTGTTATATCTCGCCTCTGCCGACTGAATAGATTCCCGTGAACTAGTCTTTTAATTAGTTCCTCTAGGTCCGGATCCGATAACATACGGCTGGCATTCCCAACGCCTGCCTAGCATCAATTGCGCTGACCGATCCGTACGTAAACTAGTCTTTATTTAGTTTTTCTAGTTCCTTTAGGTCCGGATCCGATAACATACGGCTGGCACTCCCCACTCTTGCCTAGCATCGATCGTGATGGCCGGTCCGTACGTAAACTAATCTTTTATTTAGTTCCTCTACGGCTGGCACTCGCCACTCTTGCCTAGCTTCGATAGCGCTAGCCGATCCGTCGCCGTCGCATATTATTATATGTATATCGGTCACAGTCTTGATTCCGGAATAGGTCCTGAGGAACTAGTCCAAAACTAAAAAGTTTTTACAGTAATTCACAGAATAATATTACCACTAACAATGACACTTATTCTCGTGGAGGTCTTCGGTTCTTGTTGTCACTTAAAACTATTTTCTGGAATGTTGCTGCGAGTTGTCAAGTACTGGTACTTGACACTACAAAAATTTACAACTTTTATTTTTTAGTTAGAGTCGTCATTAATAACGTGAAGGTGCACTATAGTGCAAAAAGTAAATTACTTTTTGTACAAGTGTAAAAAATTTGACTTTTAATACAGTAGATAGTGTAAAAAATAGCTATTTTTTGCACGATGGTAGAAAAACGATTTTTGTTAATATTGTGTGCGTCCAGGCTAAGACTATAAAGATTAAAAAATATACATGTTTTACCTTTAAAGCCATCAGAAGAACATTAAGGGCTTCAACCACTTTCCCATGGAATGTATGATTGGTAAGTTCTTTATATATAAACATACCCAACCCTGATAAAGCAATACATCTTGCTTTACCTATTGGTTCTCTCCTACCTGCCTTTAATAAAATACTGACAACATGTTCCTAAAATTATTAATATTATTGCATTTTTGTGCAATACATGGTGTAAATGAATAAGCTCGAAAAAATTGAAGCGACTGATTTATTTTTTGTATATTTTTTTCCCTTTGGCCTGTTCCAACAAATTATACTCTTATTTAAGGTAAACTAAAATCATAATATTGTTACGAAAGTCTTAATGAATTTGACTGACGGAATTTGTATCTATAGGAAAAGATTATTTTTCAGTAGAAATTATGTCTTGAATTTTTTCGAGTTAATTTTTTAGTGAAATACTAATATAATACCTTGATATCAGGACAATTATTTACAATACTGATATTAGGCTCGGGCTGAAGTACAGATATCGAGCTCAAATCGTCTGGTAAACTAAGTAAGTTCGTCAATATCGAGACTGCTTCAATTCGAGGTATGGATTCCTGTTTGTCAGACGTATTTAAAATTTCGTTACAGGCATAGACCACATCCAGAAATAAAAGAGATGATCCAGGTAATTGTAGAGATAAAAAACGGGGCCCAAGATATTTTATAGAGATATTCTTTGTGGATTTTAATGAACTGGTTAAAGCTAAAAAATAAATTCTATTTAATACATACAGCAAAAAAATACCGTCTTATCGATGATACATTCATCAGAATATTTTATTTAACTCTTATTTCCAGAAAATTACAAAGTAAAAAACTGTAAATATAAAGGAAAAGTGTAAATAACGATAAGAACAATGGAATATTTTCTCGGGGAAATAAGTAAAGATATATACGAAAGAAAAGTGGCTCGAACCAAACCAAAGCAACAAATAATAAGTATCCCCTAAAATAACTATTCCTAGTATCCTTTGTTTTTTTAATACATACAGTATCTCAACTGGCAAAAAGATTAAGGAAGGAGAATATCAAAATTCTTTGATTGAACGCGACGGGCTCCTAAAATGGCTGACTTAAGGTCGATTCTCACTATCCCTTCCGTTCCCATTCCATATCCGTTCCGCATTTTTGGTTGTATTCACGCTATACGTATGCTTTCGTTCCGTATCAGTATCATATTTTTTTATTGTAGAATTTATATCATTACGAAAGTTTTATTTTAAAAATTAGTATCTTTTAAAAAGGTAATAGATTTAATTAAGAGGTGAAAGAATAAATAAATATCAACAAAATGTTCTCAGAGCTGGTACAAATGTAAGAATTTGACAACGCTGTTTCCGATACGCTTCAGTCCTTCTGCCAAAAAATGTATGGAAGGAAAGGATATGGAACGGAAGGGAAACGGACCGGATAGTGTGCATTGTCCTATTTATTTACATGATATAATATTTCATGTAAACGGAATGTAGCTGATACGGAAGGTATAATGAGAATCAACCTTTAAATTCCGGTTTATCAGTGCCGTTTTAATTTTATTGAAAACGTGTAAAGATATGATGTAGGGTAAACTCAATAATTTGTTGTTTTATTTTATGTTGTCAATAAATGTAAGTAGTTATTAAAATTGTTATATAAATATACAATTCTAATAAAAATAGATAGGTTATAATAATTATTTATTAACACAAACATCCGATACGCTACTGAAGCAGGTAAGTCAAATTGACGTATCTAAATTCTTTGACATCTAATCTTTGACAAGTAGTAACTAAAAGCAACAATGAAAGAAAAAATATATAATTAGTAAATTTTAAGTGAATTTCATAAAAGAACGGTTTACTACACGTATGTGTGTTATATAGTCACTTAGTAGCGAAAAGTTATTCCATTGTTTCCAGAATCCTATTGTTTCCCCCGATTTTTGACCAAGATCTACCGCACGCTACACAACCAACTATTTTACAGTCTTTTTCGATAAATCGCAATAGTGTCACTGTTAATTTAAATTCTGTCACAATTTCCTTCTAGATTTACTACCTTTAAACAACTATCGGTAGTAGAATAAATAATAAATAACATAAAATAAGCTCAGTAGAGACTGACAAATCTACAAAATTTCAAATCAAATTCAAATGTGTCAAATGAATTGTCAAACAGAACTGTCAAGATCCCCCCCCCTAGGGCCCTCTCTCTGTCTACCATGCATGAATACATCGATAGCATTATACTCAAACCCAACCCTTTTTTATTCAAAGGTATCAATAAATACTTTAGAACTCATCAAGTTTTACTTATTTCTCTGACTACTTTATTAGTTAATTTATTTTTTTTATATTGGCATTAAAGTTAGGTTCAACTACGCAAATATAGACAAGATATTTGTGTAGATTTTTTATCCCTCTAAAAAAAGACAAGATACTTAAAGATGATATGATATGATCATAAAGAAACTAACCTGTATGAATAGAGCAATAAAATTGCGATAAGCAAACCCTGTAGTTTGAATCACAGTTAAGTATAATGGTTATGAGCAGCCTCAGGGCATTTAGTTTTCCACCCTCGTACCGATCCGGCAAACATAACGCTCCAAAACACCAAGGTAATATCAATGTGATAGGCGGTACCAGTTCCGGCGATTGTGGTGTGCTCATATTATCCAATGAAATACCTTGATTATGTTTAATCTTAATCAGAATATCCGTCAGTTTTATTAGGTATTCGAACACTTGGGAATGTAATTTGGAGTCAGTTATTTGATTGACATCACCCAAAGCTCCTAGCATGCGTTTCCATAGGATGACAGCCACGTCTGGAAGCCAGCCTCTTATGGAACCTCCACATACGACGCCTCTGTTTTCACCAGAAGGTTCCAAAGAGTTATTTTCAGACAGTACATCGAGCTGTATGGGAGAATCTTTGATCGAGTTGCTTTCAATTCCACTAGATGGCGCAGGAGATGGAGATCTCGTACGATCGGTAGATTCAGTGTCTTGAGGTACTACCATTTCCAATGACCGTGATCTTCTATGCTTTGACTGCAAAAATTGGGTTATAAATATTCAATAATTGTCTGAACATAATAAATTTACATATACATATTTTCCGACCGTTCTCCTTTTAATATTTAAACTCGTCTCGCTATAACTTCTTGTCAGACCAGATCTGAGTCTCTTTGAAGCAAAAATGTTCCCATCAGGTAGAGATGAATCCTGTCTGCAGACAGTAGTGTGAGCCTCTGCCTGGATGTTTGATGTTAAAGAAGGGGTGTTATGAATAGTATTTTCAGATTTGGTAACTACTCTTCTGGACCTCTTTGATTTCTGATCAATCAGTCTGTCTAAAGGTAAGTTTGTCAGGTCTAAGTTGTATACATGTCTAGCCAAAACGCGCGTTAAAGTCTCCATAGTTTTCTGAAATAAAAGTACAAACTGTAAATTAATAAATGCTAAAAAAAATATGGAAATAGTAACTGTTTTTTAAACACCTCTTTTCTATATGTTTTTTGGCATTTCCTACAAAGTTAATATATGCTTACATAGAGTGAATCTATTATACAGGGTGTCTCAATATTCCGTGGACATAGAACTACCAAGTATTTTTGCAATCAAAATAAGTTCATTGGACATATATCCTCTATATAAAAGTTATATAAAAGTGCTCCGTTTGTCCTTTTGGGGGCATAGAACTTAAAAAAACTTATTTTTTAAGATATTTTAAGAACCGTTATTCCGATTTGAATAAGATTTGGGATGCTTATGTTTTGCTGAGCGCTTTAACATTTGACTTGCACAAAAATCAAGAAAAAGTACGGATAGAGTGAAAATTGCCCGCACTTCTACAATCATTTTAGTAAAAATATTTTCCAGCTCTACTGACCACTGATTTTTTCTTTATATAATGGCCCTTCTAATATTTACTACTTTTATCTCTCGTAAAAAAACGCCACTGGGCATACTTTCTGAGAAAAAAAAATGTATTTCCAAGGCTGAATGGCCTCTAACGGACAAACGAAGCACTTTTGTATAGAAGTAGACTGCGTACAATGTACTCATTTTGATTCCAAAATTACGTAGTAGTTCAATGTCCACGGAATATTTGGAACACCCTGAATATGGATAAAAGGTAAATATTAACTAGGTATAGGCATTAAGCATCTGCCCTTTTCTTAATGTTTTTTTAACGTTTTGATGTAAAACTGAGATAAAAATGTAAAAAAATATAAAAATAAGGAAATGACATGAAGACATGTAATAAATAATGAAGATTTGAAATGAAAACCGGGCTAAGTGCCAAAATTAAAATTTTGAGAAGATTAATGTTTATGATACCTTCTAACAAGCACAGTAAAAGTGACAATGTGGCAACAATAAACACATAACTGAGCTAAACTAAAGACTAATGTATGTGCCACTTGTAGTGGTACTTAGCGCTGATTTCATTAGATAATGCGCGAGACTTAATACGCGTGACATCTTTGATGCCGTATTTAAAGTAGTTCCAAGTCTCATAGCCCTTTTTATATGTTATTGTACTTAGAATTGTACATGTCACTTAGCATTAATTTCAACGAAAAAGTAATTTTAAAATTTTTTGGCACTTAGCCCGGTTTTCATTTCAAGTCTTCAAGTAATGTGGTAAGTGCCAAAAATCTGTTTTTCATGTTTAATTTGTAAATTTCCTAAAAGTTTAATAGGTGGCGCTAAGTGCCACGTCTATTAAATGGTATTGAAAAGAATTCTCAACAGAGACACCCCCATTCTTATACATTGGTTATGGAACAAAAAATACTTTTTATCTTGAAATAATGAGTTTGGCTCTTAGCACATCATTCACTTCAAGTCGTCACATATGTATCTCTTAATAAAAATTAAACACATAAACTCACAGCCCATTCCTTGATAAGTTCTTCCCAGTTTGTCAGGGACGTTAAAACATCCAAAAACCTGTCCCAAAGTTCTCTAGATATGGCTACATTCAGATTTGCTTTGATCCAGGTAACAATGAGTGTTTGAAATATTGCTGGAGCTAATTTTCCACCTAAGGTGAGTATTTTCTTTTTTGGAGGAGTCTCTCCAAGAACCAGAGATGTTATTTGCAGCAAAACAACTAATAATTGTTCCCTAAAAACAAATATTATGATTTCAAATTTTATTTTAATACTAAAATGTACCATGTGTTGCTATCCATCCTTACATTCATAACCATAAACCTATAAATATTAAGTACACGTTTACAAGCATCAGTTTGTTCTTCCAACAATCTAGGAATATGCGGGTTTCCTTCCAACAAAAATACATTGGCTGCGTGTGTCATAAAAAGCTGATAAAGATTCTAAAAAAAATATATGCATACAAAAATATTGTCACAAAACTTACAATTGATTTACCTGCATCCCAGCTCTCACTAACACATTCTCTTTATGAATAGCTCCTAGATAAGAATCATTTCTTAGTCTCCCCATTCTACCATTATCAGAGATCTCTTGTTGACCTCTGATTGTGTCGTCAGGAGGCTCCAATGCATAAGGTGGTAAATCAGTTACATTCCCTTGAATTAAATCTTTGTAGACTTGAATAATCTTTCTAACAGCAACAACATGGCTGAAGTTAAGTAGTAAAGCTTGGCGATATATTTCATGAATAAAATTAATATTATCACGATTTGAGCATAATACATCTCGCACTATCTGATGTGTAAGTTCTTCATCTGTAGCAGCTTTGTTAGTATTCATTGAAATGTCTAAAAATAAATAGAAAAATATAGTACTACTTTATTTGGATGTGTAATTATACAAATACTTGAATCTAAGCTGGGATGAGAAGAATCATTATCTTCATCATGACTTTGTGGTGTTTGATGGGTATTTCCACCAGAATGGGAATGTTGAGAAGGATGGTGCTGGTAACCTTGATGATCTGTTGGCCTCCTTACATGATGCATGTAACTTGTTAACCACATAATCAAAGAAACGCGACAAAAAACAAAATCAGTTTCATTTTCCATTTTTCTCATTAGGGGTAATTCTAGAAAAAATTTAGTAAATCAGATCACTTTAAAATTTCACACTTTTAAATCACAAAATCACACCTAAATTAGGCCGGTATAAAGATGTTTCAACATTAAAACTAGGACAAATCTTTGGTAGATAATAAGTTTTAAATTGTTCTAATAAAAAACTGAAACATTGATGATGATGAGATGATTTGTCTTGCCATTCAAGTTTAATAACTGTGTGAACCATATTATCTAATAAACATTCTAAGTAGAACCTAAAAATCACAGTTGTATTTAAATAACTTACTTCTTTCTTTAACACAGGAAAAAAAAATACCTGCTGGGATGTTCTGGAGGCTTTTCCCCACTAGATGGTGGTAAAATAGGAAGCATTTCAGGTGCACTAACAGGTAGCTGAGCATCATGAAATATGCTTCCAGATGTGTGCGAAGTTGCAGTTATTATATGATTATTAAAAGTAGGTACTAAAGATGCAAACATCTTGTGTACATACTCAGGAGCATTATCATTTAATGCCTGGTACCACATTAGGAAATATTTAATTCCTTGTCTTCTTAATTTTATTGAATTTCCAGAATGCAATAATTTTGCTATCATTCGGCCCAAAGAATGTAACTGCCATCTTCTGTGAATCAACTCTGGTAGAAGACAAATAACTTGTTCAAGAATCCAAAGAGTACAGTCCAGTTCTTCTTTATGAGCTTTATGAACTAAAAATAACAGTCATTTATATGTAATGAATAAAGAATATAATATAAAAATCACTTACCCAAATGAAAGGATAATTCTGAGTGCACAAAAGAAACAAAACACAAATTAGTGAAAGTAGTAACATAAAGGAGATAAAGCTCAAACTATTAAGAAAATACTTATCAATATAATAAAATATAATTTCAACATTTATGCAATAAAATATACAAGAGTTTAGCATAAAAAATAGGTTATTAAGAACTAATGCCTAAATTTTTGGAATCACACTTGAATGAATGTAGTATAAATTACAGTAAAATAATTATATACAGTTAATTACATCCAACACCAGGATTAAAAATGCCAAGAAATCAGAGTCAGTAAACGATTAAGGGTATTTATAAAAATTAAGTTGTAATTTACTTACCTCTTTGTCTGAGATTAGATTCCATTTGAAGAAAGCTTTCGTAAAGTATATTATAAATATGACTAAAGTTTGCTTCAAATAATCCCTTAGCTTCAGAAGTGTCTACATTGTCTAAAAATTAATTAATTGAATATATCTATCAAATATATAAACTAATTTAAAGAAAATACCCAATATCAATTTTAAATGCTTAATCCGTGTGGCTACATCCTTTTTAGGATCCTGAAGTTTAGTTGTAGATTTTTTAACATCTACAAGATTCTTTTTGCTGAACATTATGTTTTGGCTAACAGAAATTTACCACAAAAATAACAGACCGTAATCACTGTTCGTCTTTTACCATCGCATTAAATATTATAAATAAACAAAACAGATATACATTTTCTACATTTTTGTAAATAGTTTTTAGTTGACGTTTTCTATTTCCAAAACACCGTAATTGAGTGACAACTGACAACTACATGTCATCAATTCATATATTATTGCATATTATTAGTAATATAAGGGTAATATTAATAAATCATATATAAAAGTAGGGGCTAAAAATCGGAAATTTAAAGAATGATTTTGTTTAGGGTCGAGCGTGTTGAGGTGTCGAGGTGTAGAGCCCTTGGGTCGGTCAAGCCCAAGGGTCAAGGGTCAAGCCTATAGAGGGCTTGTCGTGCTTTGGATTGTGATGGGGTTGTGTGTTGTGTCCAGGGTTCGGAAGTAGTTAATTAAGACGTAATTTACCTGATTAACTACGTGTGGTTTATCCTCAAAAACTACGTCTTTTCCCGTTCATTAACTACATGAAAACTACGTTAATAAACTATGTATTGATATTATGAATAATTTTCCTTTGTATGAGGTGTAATAGAGATAATATGATGTAAATATTATATTTAAACCCATATTTCTTCTGTTTTCTTAAATACATTATGTGGGTAATGGTGTGGATCCGGTGGCTGACCTTGAAACGAGTTTTTGCTGCATATAGTCACAGACACTACGCATGTGCACATCTTCGATGTTGCCAGATTGCAAGTTATTTTTGAATTATTTTCAGTAGAAAACAAATATGTGCTTTTCAGTGTTTTTTTTGTCAACATATACCGTATGATCGTCATCAAGGTTTGTGCCGGATGACACGCTTTACTGGGAAGACAGAGAAGAGTAGAACTATGGAGGGCTTAAAAAAGGAGATTTATCGGCAATGGGCAAATTTGAAATTTCTGTCCCCACTTTTAAGCAGCTTCCTCGGTTTGACAGCAGAGGCACTGCGATCGACTGGGATACTACATTTTCATTGTTAGTATACGATTTAATTGTGTTTTTAATAAAATTTATAGTTAATTTACTGAATTTTTAGCAGTACAACAATGAGTCGTGGTAGAAATTGCTTTGTACCTGGCTGTACAAGTGGGAATCCCAATAAAAACAAGGCAAATAAAGAACGGGGTGAAAGAAACCCAAGCCTTTTCAAAGCTCCTAATGTAAGTAGTATGACTATTTATTTATAAAAATTATGGATAGATGTTAAGAAAAACATTAAAATTATATACTGTCAGTGTACAGATTAAATTATAAACCAAATTAATAGGAAATATAGCCTAAAATCAACATGTGTATAACATAACCTAGGAGGCCTTGTTATAAAATTAAAATAATTTAATACTTACTAGGTGCTAAAATTACCTGTTGACATGTACCTATATTAACCACAGTTTGAACAGTGCTATTGAAAGTGAATATTAAATATTTATACTTCAAGATCGTATTCTCAAAATAACAGCTTTAATAGTGAAAAATGTTTTTTTTTTATTTTATTTAACAATTATATATCTTTTATTAGGATCCTAGCTTGCTACAGCAGTGGCAAAAGGCGATACCCAGATCAGACAAGACACTTAGCAGCAAAGATGCTGTTTGTGAACTACATTTTCTAGATGAAGATATTTTGACTCATTATGAGATCAAATTAACTGACGGAACTATCAGTAGAATTGAGCGGGGTAGACCATTATTAAAGGAGGGTTCAATTCCAAGAATTTTTCCTAACCTGCCTTCATATTTCTCTAGTAATAAAAGAAAGAGGAAACCACCATGTGTAAGGAGTGAAGCAACTGAAAAAGTTTCTAATTCAAAAAAAGTAAAAGGTCTGCCTATTAATCATGTTGAAAATCAAACTTCAGAACCTAACTTTGAGAATGAGAATGAAATTCTTCGTGATATTACTAATGTGCCAGTTGATGTTACAGACAGTAGAGTTACTATGTTCACAAATTTGAAAAATAGTTTGCATATGTCAGATTGTAAATTTATTATAAAAATTATTTAGATTTTGACTAGCCGTCGCAAGACGCTTTTTCATTGAGGAATAATAAGAAATAATTTGAAAATTATTGTATTGTGGTTGATACTTTTGATTGTGTATATAAACCATTTAGAATAGTTTTATGAATATGAATAAGCTTTAAATTAATATGTAGGTATATTGTAGCTAGGTATTTTTTTAGAATGCATTTTTTAAATTGTAATTTTTTGTGTTCTTGATATAATATGATGTTCCTGTTTTATTTTTGGCATAGTACATATAGATATTTAATATCTAAGTGCTAAATTGTATATTAAATTTATATATTGTATATTTTATTTATTAAATTTAGTGGAATTAGTTAATAGAAACAAAAGTTGTAATGTATTAATATTGCTAAATAAATATTTATATGATGAAATAAGTCAGCGTATATACATATTCACAACTCTGTATTTTTGTGCTTTTGAAATAAACTGAGTACATTATTTATTCATTAATATTTTATTTACAAACCTACCTTATATTAATAAAGTGAATATCAATAGAAAACCTTTACAATTATTAGGTGACATTGAATATAATATATCTTGAATTTAATTGTCTACTGAAACAGTGACAATTTGCAAAACTTTGCTAATGACATTAAAACTTACAATTCAACGCTAGAAAAACGCTATTGAACACAGGAAACGTTTCAGCTCAATATACCTACTCTCTAGTTTCAGCTATAAAAAGTTATGGAATAGATAACACCCGATCAAAGGGTGCAATGGTAACGTTCGCCTTTCAGTTTCCATTTATGATTAAGTTATTCCTGATAAAATACTCTTAATTTTCGTTATTCAATCTGTCAATCGCCATAAAACCACTACTAGTTCGAAAAGATTTTAATGTTTATTAAAATGGTATCACACTAAACTGCATGTAAACATGTCAATTTCAAATGTTTTAATGAAAAACTATGAACCTTTAAACTGCATCAACAAAACTATTAATAAAACACTAACACAATCACACCATAAACTATTTCATTCGCATTTCTCATCAAGAAACAATTACTGTTTACATCAAATCAAAGGTTGAACTGGTGATAAATTTGTTGCTGGAACTTCTATCTTTTTTGTACAACAGTTCTAGGGAAGATTTATTTTAGCAGCTTATATGTTTCTTCGGTCGTGTATGCACTAAAAGAACCACATAATAAAAACATTTTTATAATATCAACTTAGGAAAGGATATATTAAACCGGCATCTAATATAACCTAACTAACTTTTCAAACTCAAATTTAAGGTTTTGTATTCACAATTTTAGCCACGCACATTGCTCAATTAGAAAAACCACGTTTCTAAAAGCTAACTCTGGTAAAAATATGCCCAAATATTAACTTGGCTCTATAATTTATAACAAAATAGTTATTCTTGCCATAAGAAGCTGTGTATTTCTAGTATCCCAATCATCACAAGCGCCCCTAACGGCGATTTTCGAACTTCATTTAGATCTCAAAAACTGGGCCCATAATTTTTTGCGTTCGATTCGCCTCCTCCTTTTAGACTCCATAGTAGACACATAACCTGCACATAACACAGGTAGATGAGTCGGTATCAGTCGGTACCACAGGTCGGTACCATTTCCATTTAAGTTTCCCAGCCATGGACGGTTCATTAAAATAGTTTTTCCTCCAAGATGCAGAGTAGGCGCAAAATATTAAAACTGTCAATATTAACAATGCAAATGTCAATATCTGACAATAATAAAATTTGATTTTTAACTGTCACTCAGAGACGCTTTTCTTGTGATTTTACGGTTTGATTTCGTTTTGATTTGTCGAATTATTGTAAAATTAAATTCCTTCAGAGTTTTTGCCAGTATTCTGTTTTAGACAATGTTTTTTAAAAATGGTGGGACAATTTGTGTTTTGTATAGACTCTTAATTATTTTTTTATCATGGAGTTTAATTGTTGTACACCTGGTTTCCGAAGGATACAATGGTAAGTAAATTAAACATATCTACTTACAGTTATAGATTTTAAATTAGTACTGCTAATAAATGCTACTTGCTGAGCAGTTATTTAATTTTTACGGTGCATGTAAGGAATTAAGGACGCGCGTTGTGTTATATTAGCATGATCAGCAGATGATTACATCTAATTTAATTTGTTTTTATTATTTCAGGTCTCAAACGGAAACAAACTGGGAATCTTGCCTACACCAAAATTATATAGCCGTTTCCAATTCACTTCAAAGAGAGGAAAATGATGTAAAACTGCCTGCTATTTGCTGAAAACCGCCAAAGATTAAATTATAACTGTAACAACTTAATATATTTATACTATTTCTAGTCTTTTTAATATATTTTTTAATTAATATCCGACATAAGAACACTTTGTATGCTTTTAATTAAGTTGATTTATCGTTTATAATATGTTCGACCTAATTAAACGCACACAAAGTGTTCTAATACATTATTTTTTCAAAAAACGTTTGGATCTATAAATTACAATAATAATCTCACCACATCTGTCAGTGAAATGAGTCAAAAAACATAGGTTACCGTCAATTTATATGTTTTCAATTTCAAATACTCGACGCTCATTGGTCGTGACGAAATCGTCTTCCTCGACAAAATACGGCATATTTTCCAACATAGCCCGCTATAGGGAGTTGAATATCCTTCTTCTATATATCCTTGCTGTGCAGTCATGGAAGCAAATGTGCAGCAAAATACACAATTGTGTAGCTTGTGGCAACCCTGATTAGCCCATGATTAGCCTTAACAGCAAAAAGGACACTTTCTCAGTTCAGCAACAAGGCCGAATTCTGGTAGCTTAATGCCATTAAACGAAAGAGAAGAAGAATAACGAAGAAAAACAAAGATTAACCTCATTACGATGACGTTTTATGTTTATGTTGTGTTTATGGTTGATGTGTGGTTCTGTGGTGTGGTTGTGGTTGATGCACGGGGTTGATGTAAGAGTTTTTATACCTTTTGATCTACGCTTTTATTCTAATCTCCTACGTTTATTTTATATATATAAAATATATATATCACATTTAGATATATTAAAGATCATTTTTAAATATGATGGATAACCAGCCATTATTTAGAGATTTAACAGCAGAAGATTCAGAACCCGAAACCACAATAGTTGATTCAATGTGTATGAACTGTCATGGAAATGTGAGAACGATAGATAAATAAATTTGTTTCTTTAAAAAGGTAATTTTAGGGACAAACAAGGCTATTGTTAACTAAGATACCATTTTACAAGGAAGTAGTATTAATGTCATTCAGTTGCAATGATTGCGGATATGAAAATAATGAAGTACAATCGGGCAGTGTTATTCCTGAAAAAGGAGTCAAAATTACTTTGGAAGTAAAAGAGAAACGTGATCTAAATCGACAATTAGTGAAAAGTGATTACACAAATATAAAAATACCAGATTTAGATTTTGAAATCCCATCTCAAACACAAAAAGGAGGTAATTTTATTTTTGAAGGGTACAGGGAAAAAACCTCAATTTTCAAACTGAATAAATTCAATTTTAATAACAAAACGAAATATTTTTCTAAATATTTATCTATATGGAACTTGTTTACATGAAAGTAAATGTGACTATGACATAAAGTAGACTATGACAAAATCTGATATTGTACTTTACATATATTTACATAACATCACTGCTTTTTACCTGAACGCTTGGACAAAGCTTATATATAATAAAAATATAAAGTCAAAGTAAAACCTCTGGAGGCAGGTAAGGGGACAAAAATAAAATATTTATATCATTTTTATTTTGTTTGTTCTGGCATGTGTAAATTATCTTTGATTTTTTTACATGAAATAAATATATTTCTAAGGCTGTCTCTTTTCCATGAAGGTATATATTAAATAATATTTTACTCTAGACTACCCCATATTTACTGTTCGGTGTACATCTGCAGTGAGATAAATTCAATAGCGCCTACTCAAATTTTCAATAAAAAGTGACATCTGTTTTTTTCCCCGCATCCTTTATTTAAAATAGAAGTTGTACAAATAGTTACTAACCAAAGTAAATTACAGAAATCACAACTATAGAAGGAGTAATAAGTAGATGTATTGCTGGTTTAAATCAAGATCAAGTTGCGAGGAGAAATCAGCTCCCTGAAGCTGCCAAGGAAATTGATAACTTTATAAAGAAATTAGAAAATTTAAAAAATCTGCAAGACACTTTTACTTTAGTATAAATGATGTTTTTCTTTATGTTAGAAATACATATAAAACAAAAATCCTATTTTAGATTCTTGAAGATATATCAGGAAATAGTTTTATTGAGAATCCTAATGCTCCTAAAACAGATTGCAATTGCACATATGAATATTTCAAACGATCAAAAGAACAAGATCATGCTTTAAATATTTTTAGTCAAGAAGAGGTTACCGGTGAGAAAAAAAGTGAACCATCTATCCTGCATCCTATTAAAGAAGGTGAATTTACACTAGAGGATATTGAAGGAGAAGTTTTACATTTTCCAACAAATTGTCCAAATTGTAATTCACCATGTCAAACTAATATGAAAGTGACAAGTATCCTTTTTTGCGCATAAATTTAATCACTTAATCTCTCGAATTCAAGTCTCAAACTCGAAGCGAAAGCATCTCGAACTCTACTTCCTTTGTAGATAATAGTAGGTCCACGAATGTAAATACGAAGGTAGAGTGGAGGCAGATTTGCTTGGAGATCGAGACACTTCCACTTTGAAACCCAGAAAACCCGTGTACGGACACTCATAATATGTAGGTATATGTATGTTCTTTAATTCAGAGTTAGATATTCCACATTTTAAATCTGTTGTTATAATGGCTACAATTTGTGATGTCTGTGGCAATAAGACTAATGAAATCAAATCAGGAACAGGAATCGAACCTACAGGCGTTCATATAGAAGTTGAAGTAAAAACCAAGAACGACTTAACTAGAGATGTTTTAAAGGTTGCTTTTATATTAAAATGATATATCTACTATTATCTTCACTTTTTCTTTTATTAGTCAGAGACCTGTGACTTAAAAATACCTGAATTAGACTTAGAAGTCGGGCCACATGCCTTAGGAGGGCGCTTTACAACAATTGAAGGTCTATGTTTGGCAATAAAAGATCAGTTAAATGATCCAACACATTCCCACATATTTGGTGACTCGGAGGAAAGAAGAACGAAGGAACAATTTGAAACTTTTCTTAAAAAATTTGATGAAATAATAGAAATCAAATTTCCTGTTACTATTATTCTTGATGACCCATGTGGAAATAGTTATATACAGGTAACACACCTTAATATGAAACATTTTTTTTAGTAAAATATTTATTTCATAGAGTATGAAGGATAGCGATGAACTAGATAATCAATTAAGCATAACACATTATGAAAGAAGTTTTGAACAAAATGAAGAATTAGGATTAAATGATATGAAAATAGAAAACTATGAAGAATCATAACATTTATTTTGATTTATATAAATATAAAACACATTGATAATGAGAACATATATATGAAATATAAAAGGAATATTGACTTATTAAAAAAATATATATGATTTAATAAACAGGTTCTGGTGTTTGTGTCTTGAGAATACCAAAGCGACTTTTAATTATTATTCGTTCCTTAGAGTACTTATCTTCAGGCGAAAATCGAGCTAAAGAGTGTTAAAGTTAATAAATCTAACATACTTAAATATATAAAATTTATTTACCTGGATGAGCCGACTGAGTTGGTTTGCCATAAGGATCTATTTTCTATAAAAGTAAAAATGCATTACAGGTTCTTTCGCAAACTATATTCGATTGTTACCTTCAAAGTATAAATTCTTTTACCACTTTCGTCCAAATAATACATTAAATACATTTTTATTTATAAATATATATATTTATGAAAAGGGTTTATAAAAGTCTGGATAAAAATCTACTTTTAACGTTTTACCTGCCCTGCCTGAACAGCCGAACAGCCCTTTTCAACTATTTATTTGAAGGTTAGGTTTTGAAATAGGCTACATTATATTATTGGTTTATGGCTACAGCTGCCAAGGTTATCCGGCCAATTATAATATTGGTATAAATGCCAAATACGACTCTTACTACTTATTCTAATTACTCTTGAGCCTTTACCCAAATTTGAGAGTTGGGGGCTATTTGATCGCTGAATAACAAAATCTGACATTAGGTCAAATCCAGAGTCAAATCTCACATCATATATAAACATTTTAGATGACAAGATGATATTGTTGGAAGAGGGAGCGCCACCACTATTAATAAAGAAGAATTTAAAGAAGAAAGGATAGCTGCGCCATCTATAATGTATTTACTGGTATTAAGAAGACTTCTACTTAAATAAAAAAAAGTATTCTGCGTTGAATTTAAAAATTTGTCCAGCGCCATCTATTGTTATTTTTTAAAGCCTATCGGAATATTTAAATATTAACGTGATTTAAACCTCTGATTTAAACGATTTTAAACTAAGCATTTAAACATGGATTTATGGATACATGGATTGATAAAAAACAAGCAACTATGACAAGCAAACAGTGCACTGATTCTAACTATATAACTGTGTTGGTAAATTTTTCCAAAGTATTCACAAAATTAACAATTCTATAAACATGTTAATTAGATTATTTTATGATTGTTCGAAAATTCCCTGTCAGCGCATAGCTTAGCTTTACTAAAAATGTGAAATTATCCTCGATCATTATGTATATACTCTGGTATATGTACTTACGGAAATTGCACATCACAAAAGGAAAGTGAAAGTTATCTTTGATAAAGCTGTTTTCTATAATATAGTTATATAGTATACAAGGTGATATTAAAAAGTACTTTGGCTTGAAACAGTCCCTGAAGTTATGTAAACAGACACAGAACGTTTAAATATAATTTATTTATGATATATATATATATATATATATATAGTATATATATATATATATATATATATATATATATATATATATATATATATATATATATATATATACTAAAGTATCTTTTGCAATTGGACATTAAAGCATTCCTATAACAGGAATAACGAAATATTTAATCATTTATCATTGGAATCATTAAATATTAATTTACTTATGAAACGAGTGTCATGTAAAGTTTATTTCTCAATTGATGCCACTGTTAAATTGGTTAAAATTTATCGTTATATAGAAAGAAGCTTTCCCTTTTTGCATAGTGCGATAGACTCTCACGTAAGATTTAGGTATTCCTCCTGATAAAAGATAAACCATGAGTAAAGTGTTAATAACGCTGGTAGGTTAATTTTTTTTTAGTTAAAATAGTCGTAGCTTATTTTTTATTTTAATAAACTGACTTTTGTTTTTTTTTCTATGATTAGGTAAGTTTCTCTTTTTTCTTTTACCATAAATTATTTTTTAGCTACTTGTTGCCCTTTGTTCAGTACCATTAACAAATTCTGAACCCTTAACTTTAATAAAGGACGTTATTCAGTTTAATATTGCTGGTCATCCAGTTCTACACAAATCTGTTGACTGGCCTTTTGATCCAGACATTGCAGTAAGAAGATCCAGGCAGTATCAGGAATTAAATGGATATTTGGGTGAAAAAGCAATTGAGAGATTAGGATTGGGAATAGACGGATACGACAGAGAAAGATTAGCTCAACAACAGCAAAGAGATGAAGGGCATCTAAATGGACTTGATTATTTAAATCCTTAGATAGAATATGTAAAAAATAATTAATTTCTAAGAAATTAAATCAAAATTTTCTGAAATGGTAGAACGCATTTAAGTGCCGTAATACTTATATCTTACACATAGCAGAGAGGTAGTTGTCTCTGCACATCATAGAATAATTAACTGAAATAATAATAATTATAACTGAATGAAAAATCTTATACATATAAAAAATTAGACTAAAATAATGCCTCTTTGTTTCCCTACACCCATTCTTTGTCCGTGCATCCTACACCCTTCTTACTTAATTACTGTGTTAATTACTTCTTACTTAATAAACACAGTTAATAAAACTGTTTTCGATTTTCAATTTTCATACTGTTTTTCACTCCCCTCTCCCCCATCCTTTCCCCTCTCTGATCCTTTACATTCTTCATATTTTCATTTAACTACTTAAAAATTTTACTAGTTTACGGGCTTAAAAAGCCTCCGTACATGTATTAAGCAAAGATTAAGCTTGTATTTATGCCCCATCCTTGACTAAAATAGTTGGTTTACATAGGACATTTTGTCTACCAGTTTTTTTCAAATCACTCTATGGTGTGTTTTTGACGTTTAAGTACAACATGACAAAAAAAGCTACAAAACAGTTTTTTGTATCGTTTTAAAAATTTTATAGTTCTTAACTTTTTGAATGCTTGTATATTAAAAGTTATGAGTTGATTTTCTATATAAACAATGTATTTTCCGATCGGGTGGCCAAAAGTTGTTCAGGTTCCGGATTTAGGTCAGTGTTCATTAAAACAAGTGAAATGTAACAGAGATCGTATTTTAGTAGCAATTTTAACAGATGATATATTAGCAATATGGTTTTGTAAGGTAAATTTATAATAAATTTTGATTTTATTTGTAAATATCTTGCACACTAATATTTCAGCCTTGTGTGCCAATTGTATTTCATCGGCGAAATACAGAATCTCTATCAAAATTTGGAACCAATATTATAGCAGAATGGAAACCAGATTCAAGTAAAATTGTTGTTGCTGTAAGGTGTTTAAATTTAAATATTTATTTAGTAATAAAATTAGTTTATTATAGACCTCAGAAGGACATCTTTTACTTTATACGCTAAATGTTATATCAAATCAAAAAGGGTTGTATATCCAGACTGACTCTCCTCATGCTAACTTAAGAAGAGATAGTGCCGAACTATTTATTAAAGAAACTATACCTCCCCTGTCTTTGCAAATAGTAAGTATATTGAAAATTATGTAATGCTCATAGAAGTAATATTTATTTGTAGACTGAAGAAGCTCTAGTATGGGATGGAAAAATAACAGGAATTGTTTGTATAACAATGTCTGAAATAATGTTATCTACTACTGAAAATCATGTACTGAGATATAAATGGGATGGGACTCAAAACAGGGATTATACATTAGATTTAAGAAGGATACCATTCTGTATCAATCAACAAGTTTCTAAAGGTTCAATATTTCTTTTAAGTTGATCTTCTAAGTGATATTTTTTTATTTTTTTTTAGCAATACCTATAGTGGAAGATAATACTTATATAATTGATATTGAATATTCTCCGTTAGTTGGAGGATTTTCTATAGTGCTTAATGATGGAAGAGCAGCATTTCTTACAGCATCTTCTTTAAAATTTGACCCAAATGTAAGTTAAATATTTATTTAGGCATTTGTAAACAGTTAACAACATTATTTTAGCAAGTGCAAGGAATATGGGCTCAACATATTGAAGACGCTACCTGTACTACTATTAATCACAAATATAGATTAATTACCTTTGGAAGGTCAAAGTAAGCATTTTTTATCAACTTAAAATGCTTATGTTATAATATTGTTTTTGTAGCTCTGAATGTATAGTTTATTATGTTGATGACAGTACTGGTGGACTGGAAGTTTCACATAATTGTCTTCTAAGTAGTAAGGATTACCCTGGCTGTCCAGGATCAGTAGGCAATGTAATATGGACCCCAGATGGATGTGCTTTAGTAGCTACCTGGCAGCAAGGGGGCTTAGCAATGTGGTCTACATTTGGTGCATTACTTATGTGTTCTCTTGGTTGGGACTATGGTTTGAATATTGACATACAAAAATGGAATCCTTTACAAATAATGTCATTGGTAATTTTTAAAGGTAGAAGAAGATGGTTGTGTTCATAATATCATTTATTTTTTCAGGATTTTGCAACTGAAGGTTATCAGTTATGGATGGTAAGAAAAAGCAATACATATGACTCAGAAAACCGTACAGTTGATAATAATAATCTTTCTCAGAATGAGTCTGATTTAATTCTTTTGGATTTTGCAAAAAGTGCATTAACAATTAATCCTTGTATGGTAAGTGATTGCCTAAAATTGTTTTTCAGCATTAATAGTTATATTTTTAGAGCCAACAGAGTCATCTGTATTTGCAAGGAGAAGACAAACTGTATATAAATTCATCAGAAAATTTAATCAAAACATTTTCAGAAAGATCAAATCGTGATGATTCTGTTTTTGGAGATAATACTATTTTTACAACTACATTAGCTGAAGGTAGACAGTGGCTTGTTATTCCAATTCCTTCCACATATTCTGCTACTAACTGGCCAATTCGGGTAGATAATTAAATTAGTATTTCTAATTTTCAAGTTTTAATTAAGATATCTTTATAATTCAGTATTCAGGTATAGACATAGATGGTCAAAATATTGTTATAGCAGGTAGGACAGGTGTAGCCCACTATTCCTTGCAAACCAGAAGATGGAAATTGTTTGGAAATGAAACTCAAGAAAAAGATTTTATTGTTGCTGGAGGATTGTTGTGGTGGAGGGATTATATTATTCTGGGATGTTACAGCATCATAGATAATTCAGATGAACTAAGATTTTACTCAAAAGAATGCAAATTAGACAATAAATTTGCAAAAATAATTCCTGTTAATGCTCCAATTTTGTTAATAAATATTTTACAAGACCAGCTGATTACTTTTAGTTCAGATGCACAAGTTTGTATTTGGAGACTTAATCAAAATGATTCAGGTTATAATTGCTACCTATATATTTTGGATTTTGACTTTCATTGTATTATGTATTGTAGCTGGTGATATAGATCTCATAAAAGTTCAAGCTATAGATGCATCAGCGTTAGCTGTTCACCCTGCTTGTATAGTATCAGTTACTTTGACAGCTCTGAGAACTGAAACTAGTGGCAAGAATAGTAATCCAAGAATACCAGAAAGTATTGTGTTAAATGTGAGTGGTAGATTGTTGTTAGTCCAAAGAGAAATTAGAAAAGGTGAAAGATTTACCTGCCTCATGCCTACAGTATTAGCTAGTTGTGTTGAAAATGTTTGGGTGCCAGCTATTACTCATCAAGAAAAAGTGAGTTATTATTTAAAATAATGTATAGTATTTTTTAATGTTGGTTTTTAGGCTCATTTGACAGAATCCTTGTGGCTTTTCTGTGGATCTCATGGAATGAGAGTGTGGCTACCTTTATATCCAAGGGATGGAGATAAGCCTCATAGTTTTATGTCAAAAAGAATTATGCTTCCATTTCATTTAAAAATTTACCCTTTAGGTAATTATGTACTTTAATAAAAATTCTAATTTTAATTGCAAAATTTTTAGCGATATTATTTGAAGATGCTATAATACTCGGCGCCGAAAATGATACAGTTTTATATACATCCGATTTAAATTCACCATTTTCACTGCCTTTCTGTGTTCTTCAAAGAACTGTAAGCCATGAAACAAGTGACTTTTCAAAACTGATGATTTATTTTCAGAGTCAAGTTTACTTGCATCAAATATTAAGACAACTTATAAGAAGAAATTTAGGATTTCATGCTTGGGAAATAGCTAAAAGTTGCATGAGTTTACCATATTTTCCTCATTCATTAGAACTACTTCTTCATGAGGTATTTGCATTTTTTAAAAGAAACATAGAAATTATGACTTTATTTTGATTATCAATTTTATTAACTTAAAATTTTAGGTTTTAGAAGAAGAGGCTACTAGTAAGGAACCTATACCCGATGCCCAACTACCAAGTGTCATAGAATTTATTATGGAGTTTCCAGTTTATCTACAAACTGTCGTGCAGTGTGCACGAAAAACTGAAATTGCTCTGTGGCCTTATTTGTTTTCAGCTGCCGGCAAACCAAAAGATTTGTTTCAAGAATGTATGGATAAGAGTAATTTGGACACAGCAGCATCATATTTAATAATTTTACAGGTTTGAATAGTTTTTTTCAGCAAGAGAAAAATATCTTCTGTATTTTGTTTTGGTTTTTAGAACCTGGAAACCTCTTCGGTGAGTAGGCAATATGCAACCATGTTACTTAACACTGCTTTAAATCAATCAAAATGGGAATTGGCCAAGGATTTGGTCAGATTTCTAAGAGCTATCGGTACTATTGTAATAGTATTTTTTATAATTCGCTGCAATTATTTATATTTTAGATCCAAACGATGTAGAATCTCCAAGAAACTCTTTTATACTTCCCAGCAAGCTGAACAACCTTCAGACTCCTCCAGTAAGCCCAAACGCTGAAGATATATCTGTTATATTAGGGAACGTGCAGAGTTCGAGGGTTCGATCGTACAGTACAACAATATCGCCAAAAGTAGTTGAAAAACCCAACAACAGTGTTGACAAAATGAATGCTTTACAAGAATCTCCCAAATCAAATCGCAAGAAATCCGTCCCTTCTTCATCAAACGCCAAAGCAGACACAAAGTAAGCATTATATATCTTTTTTACTTATCTTTATTGCTATTTATTACTGTCGCTTAATAAAACATTAATGAAACTAAAATTAAATTATTTACCAGGCATGTTTGTGTTCAAAAGCATTTTTTCTTCAGATTTTTATCAGCAAGTTTATACAATAAGTAGTTCAAATGGCTGAAAAATAATATTTCAAGTAATTGAATTTTTCATTGCTATGCTTCAAAAATATCTATAAAGGTGCATCCTCATTTGAACATTTTAGTTGGAACGAACAGAACGTGCTCTATCAAATTAAAATAGCGGTGCGCGCCTCAGGCATAGGTCTACGCAAATAATCTCTATGTTTGTCTAAAAACAGAAAATTAAAAAAGAAACTCGATTAGAAATCACAAATCAATTGGAGCAAGTAATAAAATACTTAATACTGACACATGTAGGTAAAGCTAAATGATAAATATGAAGTTTTCTCTCTTATTTTACGAAGAAATTGCGTTTTTCCTCACTTCAAGCTTTTTTCTTTTTGGCGGTTGGGACTCCCCACTTTTGCCTAGCATTGGCTACGATCGCACTGGCCTCTATCGCATATTAATATATCTCGGTCACAGTCTCGGTTCTCGAAATAGGCCTTGAGGAACTAGTCTTTTAAGAAACAGGGAACTAGTTCCTTTCTTTCCGGGGTCGGAATAGTTCACTGGAAATAGTTCGTTCACGAACTACAGAACGAACTACACACCTCTAAATCGATGTAGATACATGACCGCTGCTGACGCGTGACGGCGGCGTTACTCGATCACTGTATGTTATGAAAGTTATGAAGACAGGTATATTATGTAGTTATGAAGACAGGTATTTGGAACTGTACCAAGAACGGAACAGGACTGTTATTGAAAATCGCCGAGTTTACCATCTCTACTACAACAAGCTTCTTTAATAAGGCATATTTGAAGACTTGAAGTAAATAATGTTCTAAGTGCCAAAATCATTATTTCGAGATAAACAAAATTTTTTGTTTCATAACCAAAGTATAAGAACGGGCGGTGGTCTCTGTTGAGAATTTTTTTCAATACAATTTAATAGCCGTGGCACTTAGCGCTTTATATATGTTGTTCGTTATGGAACTTAGGACATTTTACAAATAAAACTAGACAAACGGTTTTTTTGGCGCGTAGAACATTATTTACTTCAAGCCTTCATTTATAAACGGCGCGGCGCGGCGGAGGCAAAATGTTTAGCGCGTTCTGTTCGGCGCAGAGAGACATTTTCATTTTCCAAGCATAGGAGTGAGCGTTCGTTCATTCGGAATAAAATGTTCAGATGAGGATGTATAACTAAATTAAATCGAAATTATTTACAAGGCATACTTCTATTTCCTTCAGACTTTGATGATTTTATTGACGACGGTATAGTCTATAACTCTATGTAGTAGTAGGTAGTTTAAATAGTCCCAAAAACTGATGATCGAATTTTGAGAGTATGAATAAAGTTTTTAATTTCATAAAAATTATTTTTATTTCATAGATTTTATAAATAATAGTTTCGTATGTTTTATATATACTTTGTTATTGTTTTATTCATTGTCGCTGCATAAAAAATATATATAAAATAAATCAAAATTATTTATGAGGTATGTTTTTATCATTAAGAACTTAATGTAGCAGTAGTTCTAATGACCAATGATTAATACAAATCAAACTTGATCTTATTTTTATATATTTCAGTGAAATTTGTAATTATTTTAATATAGGAGAGGCATATATTAGAGCTATTTTTTTTTATTTCCTATCTGTTTCTATATTTTATGTATGTATTAGTTTATTAGTAGCCTTGGTACCGACAATAACTCGATGTACTGATGAAAAATTCAGGTATATAATTAAATCTACCCCAGACGATAGGCAACACTTGAGTTAGTTTTTTTAAAGAGTATTGATCTATTTTTTCTAGTTATGTAAGAAAACGTTTTAGTAGTTTCAAGCCGCTGTCGTCCTATTGGCGGAACATTTTTAAATTGTGAGTAATTTTTCGGAAAATATTATTGTTTTCGAGCATACCACACTGTAAGCTTAAACGTCTATATCACGTATTTTTTATAGCTTTTGTGAGGTGGGGTATTACAGTTGACGCCACGAATTCAGGTATCACCGCTTATACACAATGTTTATGCTATGTTTGTACTGTATCATATTTATTTTTTTATGTTCGCCTGGTAGATTTTTATCATTAATTTGTTTCTAGAACGACGCCTAATAATACTGCAGAAGAATTTTTCATAGACGTCATTCTACAAAAACATGCGAGGAGGTTGCTATCGAGTCATCGTTTAACGGATCTGGGATATTTTGCGGCTCATCTTGATTTTCATTTGGTGGCTTGGCTGGCAAAAGAACGCGACAGAGCCGCTAGAATTGACGATTTTGTCAAAGCTCTGAAGCAGCTTCATGAAGAATTCCAATGGCCCTATCCTACACCATCAACTTTGTCATCCAGTAAGCAATTAACCTATTTAGCTGAAACCTTTACATTACTGGTATCGTATTATCGCATTTTTGGATTATAGGGGCTCAGTCTTTAGGAGAAACACAAATTCTTGAAGACCAGCTACGTTCGCTAAAACTGGACGTTTTTAACTATCCGACTTCGTCAAGTAGAGTGGGAGATAGTGGGTATATGAGTTTCCAGGGTTTGCCCGGCAGAGGACTGATAACTCCACTTAGTACCTTGGAACAGTCCAGTCAGATAGCTGATGAAATAGACTTGGACTTAGAGAATCACAGTCCTAACGAAAAGGTAAATCCCACAAATGACAGTTCAAGTCCACAAGAGAAGGAACATTTATTTTTTGGAGCAGAATCAGCTGCCGATCATTTTAGTGCAAATCTAAATCTAGGTAAGTGAATATCTCTTATGAGTATAACTCTACTCTCAAATTTCGCTTTCATTCCTTTTGTGACCTATTTCCTATGATCATAGATCTAATAATTAGATAGGTATATATTTTATGAGAAATTACATTCACCTACCTGGACAGTCCTTAACCATATTCTTCAATATACACAAACGTCGCGTCGTTAGGAATGACATTAACCATACATTAACCTTCCTCTCAACGACGCGTTATAATACCCCGTCCATATGGGTTCAGTGTTATGTTAACATCGATCTATGACCCTTTGAGATCCATGTTGAAACATCGTATATCGTTAGCGAATTATCGATGTTTTTAAAATATCGGGAAACACATCCCTCACTATTTTAAGATCCAAAAATTTTGGATGCTTACTTTTAAAATGAAGCGACGCTTAATGACAATTATATACAGCTAAAGTATCCTGTGACTTGACTCTTTTTCATTATTATTTTCTTAGACAAGGTATATCTTTTAACGGTTCCTTGTGTGTGCTTGCCTATTCTGAAATTTTATATCTAAGTGTTTTAATTCCAAAGGTTTACCCACTACAGCTCTACAAACGAATAATGCCATAGACGAATCTATAATGAGTACGGTAAGTTCGGTTTGGGGTGAAGACATAGTTTCCAGTCCAGGAACTGAAAATTGGGAAGTTCCTTCAACTCAAATCCTGGAACAACTATCGAATACCGACAGCAGAGGATCACATAAGTCGGAAATACAGTTGAGGTACTTACTGCAGCTGTTTATGGAAGCAAGTTGTTTGGAATGGTCTTTGTTGATATCGGTATTACTTAGAGACGCCATGGCCGTTCTGAGGACGGTGAACGCAGCTAAATCTCCAGATCAGTCAATAGAAATTGTTTCTAGACTTCGACAGGGATTGTTAATTTTGAATTATTGGACGAATACAGAATGGTAAGTGTATGTAGATTCTCAATGACAGATTAGAAACTAGCAATAACATTTTTTTTCTACACAAATTATTGATAAATTACAATTATTTGAAACAATAACGGGCGGTATATAATATATTTATGTTTTTTGTTTTATTAGTTTGGGATATAAAGCTTTCATGATCGCTATCCAAAACCAGGTATCCGTCTTAACGAGGATACTCGAAACCAAGATTCAACACCAACAAATCGTCGAGTACCAACAGGCCGTATCTGCTAGTTTGAACAAGGTAACTCTTCAGAAACCACGTCCTCGAAAGACTAGTCAGAGTCAAGACACGGCCAATCAGAATGTACCTGTAAAAAGTAAGAAAAGCACTTCTAGCAACGTTAGTGTTTCTAGTAACAAACTAAATAGCGATGTAGGTCCTACTAGTACAGGCGAATCCCCTGTAGAAAATCACGTAGAAAATACTATTATACCCGAGAGTACCGGGTGTGTGATATCTTAAATACGTAAAAATATTTACGTGTTTTTTTTTGCTTAGTTTTAGTCCATGTTAAAAATATAGTAATACATTAAATATATATTTATTTAATTTTATATTTTATTGTCGGTGTTTTGCAAACTACTGTGTATTTGTTTATATAAAGGTGTTATATAACGGAATATGTTTGTAAAATATAGTGGGAGTACTAACGAGGTGTTTATTGTTATTCTATAATTTTGTTTTATAATATATACACATGTTCTGATGAATATTTTTTGCCGTGCCATTTTAGAAATATACACATTATTTATAATTATTGAAGGATCCAGAGGAAAAACATGATAAGCGCCATTTTACTAATTTTACAGGAGAGCACTAGATGGCTGGTGGTTATCAGGTTCCATATATTCTAGATTTTTACTAGGCATATATCATAGAATTTAACAACTTATTGCCTTGCAGAGTTTATACATTTTGTAGGGACTAGTTAGACCTACTATAATATTGTAAAATCCTAAAATTAAAAAATTGGTGCTTATCAAGTTTTTCCCCTGGACCTGTCAATATGATTATATGAAAATAGAGAGACATAAAAACAATATTTTTGAATATTACTATGGCTGTCGCTGTGTGTCAACATTTTCCAGGTAACATAGTTGTTGATGCAACTGTATATCTATCTCATTTTTTACTTTATATTTTATTAACATTTATTTTGACTTACTGAAGCTCAACACCACATTTTTTCGAAAAGCTATTGAAGAATTATACATATTACTGTAATATTAATATAGTATAAAAAGAACAATGATTTGAAAGACAATGTCCATTATGATTAAATATAATAAAAGTTGATATTTTGAAGGATGACAAGATAAAATGACTTTGATTAAGTGAATGGGTTTTTATGTAGTGTAACATATTTTCAATTAAACCAACCAAAAATTTCGTCCATTTTAAATGCAATACACAATGTACTGAATAATTTAGTAAAGAAAACAAATCGAAAAGCAAATACAAGTATTTTGCACATATTATAATAAGCTCTGGCTTCAGAAAGTCAATGTTAAGACTGAAAGTGGGTCATGTGCAAAAAGGTGATTGCCAAAAAAATATTTGATTTGTATTAGTATACATGTCAAGAACGGTAAACTAATAGGATAGCTCATCCTTATAAGGCGTACGTTCGCCACTTCTCGATCGGCAGCTGATAGTTGTGACGTCAGCCGTAGCTTTCTAAATTTCAAAATGCTAAAAAAGATTTCTGTCTGGCCGTGGGCTAATGCATTTTTAAGAACGGCAGTTCCTGGTTTACACCGACAGTCGAGGGCTGCAGCTGACGTCACAGAGCGAGGAGTTTGCGCGTGCAAATAGCAGACACTCAAGTGCGCGGTCCGACATAAAGCTTTTAGCGTAGCGTATGGCGGAAAGGAGTGCGTACAGTGTGAGCAAATATGCGTCAATCCGTAATACGCTACGCTGTATGTGGAGCCACTTCAGTTTACTTAAATGCATTTATATTTATATTGCAATGCTGTACGCCTCATGTGCGGCCACGCACTAAGCCGAATGAGTAGTCCTATTAGGTTAATGGTTCTTGTTTACAGAAGCTTTTGGAAACATATTCATTAAGATAATTATACAGTGTTCAAAAAATATGTGTCATCTTGTGGGGAGATTCCTCACGTAAAAATAAGATTTATTTTTCATATCAACACGGGTCTGGTTTGTTTCTTTGATTTTGCATTGTGAGGTTAAAGTCCTCATTTTTTTTCGATTTATTATAATTATATATTTTTTTCTAAGTGCTTTTAGCGACTTGAATGAAATTTTGAGGATAAAAGTTATTATGAGTGCTACATATTTTAATGCAAAAATTGGAATATATTGAAATTATCACCTGGAATATTTTTTCTAAAAAAACATGTGCGTCACTCACCTAATTCCTCTTATTACCAAAAGTGTGTAGGACATTTAGTGCCAATTAAAAGTTGTCTCTTGATATTTTGTCCATTTTGATCTCCTCGATGAGATAAACGCAATTCTATTAATCACAATTAGTAAAATTAAAATAAAAATAAAATTAATAAATTATTTATTTAATGTAATTTATTACTATTTTTTTAATTTATAGCACTGATGCACTGTCTGTGCTACCTACAGCAAATTCCCCCAAAAATAATGGTATTTAAGATAATTATTACAAAAGGCAATTTTTTAAAAGTTTTAACATCCTGTAACTTTAAAACTATGCATTCCTATGTTCATAGGAACTTTTTTTATATTTTTTGATGAGGAATCAATGAGTACTTATTTAATATTTTGGCAAGTTAATGGCATTAAAGTTTTTTGAAGGTTGCTATTAGAATTGGATTATGGTTTGGTTTGGAATTGAAATTAATTAAATTACGTTTATATCATCAAGGACTACAAATCTACAAAATATCAAGAGAAAACTTTTCTTCATCAGTATTTAACTGTCTACACAATTTTGCTTACGAACAAAAAAAACAGTGGCGCACATATTTTTTATAGCACTTGAAAGAAACTTTTTATAATAAATCGAAAAAAGATGAAGACTTTAACCGCCTGTAGCTACGAAACGAAGCAGAATCGGACTCATGTTGATATGACAAATAAATCTTATTTTTGTGTGGGAAATCTTTCCACTAGAGATGGCACATTTCTTGAAACACACTTTATATGATATATACTTTGTTTAATGAATCTGTAATGCCATATATGACAAATGTCTGTAATGTTTATTTCAAAACTCCCTGTCAGAAACTATCAGGATTTTCATGTGTATCCGACAATACGATATTATTATTATATATTATTATTATATATTATATATTATTATACTCCGTTTATCGGATAATACGAATCGCTGGTGATTGGTAAAAAATAGTTGACAGTAACATTGTTTTCATTTCTATAATGGTTTCCGAAAGCTTTACTTATCGATAAAGCTTTATTAATCTATACAGGGTCCGGCAATAGTGCGTCGGGCATCTGTAGCTCCTAGAATAAACGACTTGGGAATTTTGTTTGTGGAAGTGCAGACCTAAAGTATGTACTAGGATGTATTTCAGGAAAATATTTAACTACCACAGGGTGGCTCAAAAAAGTGTGAGCGGATCGGGATTATTTTTTTCAAATGGAACACCTTGTATATTATTGCATTTTTGGCTTTCTTTCAGACCACTTTACATATTACTAGGATATGAGTAAATATATTTCGATAGTTTTAGAGATTTCAGAGGTATTAATAAATATAGTTTTGATTTCAGGACAGTTCTTGTATTTTTAATAATTTTTTAAGAATGGCTGAAAAATATATATTTTTTCTTTATTTATTAATATCTCTCAAACTATCGAAATATATTTATACTCATATCTTGTGATTAGGTATTAGGTATCTGAAAGGAAGCCAAAAATGAAATAATATACAAGATGTTACTTTTAAGAAAAGTCATCCCGATCTACTCACACTTTTTTGAGCCACCCTGTAATAGTTAAAATATTTTCCTGAAATACATTCTAGTACATACTTTAGGTTTGCACTTAAACAAAATTTCCAAGTTTTTTATTCTAGGAGCTACAGGTGCCCGACGCACTATTGCCGGATCCTCAACAATTATTGTTACTTATTCTGTCTTAATTATACATAGTTGAAAGATTTTAATTATTAATAAGGAATTTTGAGATAAAAATTACAGATTTTACTAGTTATATAGGATGTATAAAATAAATTAAATAGAATATCTGTTTGAATAACAAGTCAATTAATATGAAAAATATTTTTTAAATACATCTGTATATTAATAAGTAATATAAGTCTAAAATACTAAACTAAAAATATCTCTACACTCTAGCATTCTTTATGGTTAAAAAATCGTTTACACACTCTGCAAATTGAGAGAAAATATAGGTAATAGAATTTTTAATGTACCTGTTTTATTACGAATCAGTGGAATAATAATGTTTTAAATATAATAGGCATTATTTGGAAACATGAATTTATTCTAAAATTTTACATATAATTTGTAAAAAAATATTTTTTAATCATGTAATCTAATAATGCTTTATTCATTATTAATTTTTACAAGAATAATAAAATATAAAATTTATTTACTTTTAGAATATCAAATTTAATTGTTCACGCATAACATTTTATATTATTTAACATATTTTATACATTTGGTATTATAGAAATATTTAATGCCTAACTATCTGTTTTTAAAATACTCTTTTTTGTTATGTACATTGATTTTTGTAAAGAAACTTAAATAAACTACATAATTTATTAAATTAGGTTTCTTTATTTTCATACAATACCTTTCAAATTTAAATACAATAGGTTAGGATTGACATATCATTTGAATAAATGTTAAATTTTGTTTTTGATAATTTTTACACAATATTTTTATTTTACATTATTTTACAGAAGTAATATTTTTAAAAAAAAAATTCTGATTTATTTACACATAGCTTTAAAATATTATTATAAATATTATCACAGAATGTAAAAATACAGTTTATTTATTTATATGGAACAAAAATCGTAGCTCTATTAATAAACTAATTTTTCTTACACTGCATTTTTTAATTACATTTGCATATTGTTTTTCTAATGGCGCGCTCAGACGACTCGTGTACTTGGCAAACATTTGTTATTGGCATACAGACTGCTACGGGCGCACTATCGCAGGACTTTAATGTCAATAAAAAACGTTTGCCAAGTACACGAGTCGTCAGAGTCCGCCTTAAGAAATGAAATTGGTCTCTGACAAATAAAACTATTTTCAGTTCATTATAGGTATAGTACATCTCGAGATAAAAATACATTTTTGTCTATAATAAAATATATAAAAAAATATTTAACTAAAAACAAGAGGGCGTAGATAAGAAATTTTTGATGTCTTATAATATATTTATAGATTTTTATTAGGAATCTTTTACCGTTATCTATCAGTCAACATTATGCTCACAAAACATTTACTTATTCCTAGCACATAGTTTTTGGTAAAAATTCTCACACTAATCACAAATTCCGCAACTACCATCACACCAACTTCAATTCACTAACAATGGAGTAAATAATGATCCAGACGAGCAAAAGCACGATCACTGCGATGAAGAAATATGTTTTCTTCTGGTTCCAAGGACTATTCTCTGCTAAGTTTGGTGGCTGGAATTGCTGTCTTGCTGATCTACAAACCTCAGGGGTGCAAGTGGTGGTTGCTTTGATTTTTCCATTGACGTTAATTTTATTCAATTCGGTTCCTGCTTCGGTATTTCGAAAAGACTTGTTTGCCATCTGAAATACCATCAAAGATTAGTTATAATCATCTTCATAATAAAAACGAAGCATTACCTAGTGTTTTGAATTGAATTTAAATATTTTACTATATAAACCAGAAAATTCATTATCGTCTGATCATATTTACTTATTGAGATTTCAAATATAAATAAAATAACGTTTTATTTAATTTCATTCTGACATTCTAAACCATTTTATGTCATTAAGCGTCAAAATTAAATTCAAATAATGACTTTATCATTTTCGGTTACTTCCTTTGTTACTTCCTTGTTACTTCTTACTTAGGTACTTATTAAATTACGTGCATCAAAAATGTACCTATATATTTTGGTACACGTCATGTGCGTTTGTAGCAAAAAAATAAATTTGTGCTTTACACAAAATATTTTTAATGTTTATGTGTATTACAGGTATATTATTTGTACAGTACGTCTGTCCGTTCTGTAGCTACGGGGTGGTCCATCAATAAAAATTCGACAAATTTGCAAGTAGCTAATAAAATGAGTGGGCGGAGCGATTTGCGGTGACGTACTCGTCAAGTCGACGTATAAAATATATTGCTGTTTATTTAAATGTTTTTTGTCCGCATTCCTTTCATAGACACAGATCTTTGACACAGATCCAGCAGACGTACTGTACCTACAATGACATTTAGAAATAATAGTTCGAGCGTTGGCATCAAAGGTTGGCGCTATTTTTTCGTATTTATCAAATACACAAATACACAAAAATGGAAATACCATTTTTCTTTATTTTTTACTTTAAATAAAAATATTTTTTAAAAGTCTATTCATTCAGTAGTGATATTTTTTCGAACTTGAAAAATTTCAGTTAAACTGATATCACAGCCTCTTCATAACCAGCCTGCCGACTTACGGTCAATTACATGTAAATTTGCGCATTTGCCTTTCTAAATAAGTATTCGCTTATGTTATGTAACAAGACGAGTTTTGAGCTCCATTTACTGTCTTCCATTCACGCAGTTGTGTAGCTCTGAACTGTTCAAGAATGCGATAGGTACTCTCACTCCATTCAGTTGAGTCATAAAGTTCAGAACTGTGTCAGAACTGTTCTGCGTCATATGGAGGCACTAGGCTATCGGCGCACAGCAGTGGGATTCTGTAAGCTCCGTAGCAAGAAATTTCTTGCCTAGCCTATGTTATTTGTATACGATTGATGAGTCACTACACAGGAAATATGTTTACAGAATCGCACTGCAGCTCCTTTCAGAACCGTTCTCGAGTAGCCCAGGGCGTAAAGCTCTGGAACGTGAAATTCGCGAATGGAGGACAGCAATTGAAGCTTCATATAGGCTTGGTACACAAACTAATTTTAGGTTAGTCTGTGGCTTGGTACATTTCAGTTCATTTTAAAAATTCCGACTGCAACGCTCGAACGGCAGAAATTAGAAGTGCCGGGTATAAAGTATTTCACATAGTCCTGTTACCGTTTATGTCGATCGCATTTAAATAGTGTTAAAATCGTGGCTTTGTCATAATATTTATTAAGTATTTAATTTTTTGCTAGTGCAGTTAGTGAAACGCGTAAACGAGTAAAACCCTCAGGTACGAGGTTTGTGGGACGTAATGTGTTTCGGGTAGTAAAAAATAAATGAAAAAAAAACTGAACTAGGCGTCGCGGTCGTCGTGTTGTGACAATTTCAAATGTAATAATAAAATTGCCGAAAAAATGTTAACTCGTAAAGGAGGGCGTAATTAGGGCGTTGTGGGTGAAATAACATTCAATAACTCAATTTTCCCGGATATTCAACTCTCCCGAAAAAGCATTTTATAGCTTCACAGTTTCTCAAACCGATTTGATCAAAATCACAAATGGATTCAAGCAGTTCGACGAAACAAGTGAGTACAATAAACAAAGTGTTTATTACAAACATAATCAAAAAATTAAATAGGCTATACTATAATGCTATGAGAGAATATTAATGGTATACTTTTTTTAATCAACTAATTGTTCTATGAACATCTAAAATTATAATTATGTACCTTTAAAAAAATCGTTATAGCCGAAACAGCCCCAGTTATGACCCCACTAGCAAAACCGGTGGCGTAAAATTATGCTCGCTACCATAGTTGAACTCATCTAAAAAGTTTTTTTAGCTGGATTAATAAATTATAATACAAGTTAGACCTTCTGAAGATATCAAAATATTTACTTTTTTATTTTTAGAATATTCACAAATAATATTTTTCCTAACACTTTTAAAATATAATTATTATTTACTTTCGTTTACTATTTAAACCCGTGTATTTGTTTATACCAGTTGTTTACTATATTCTCCGATGGTGGCAGGCACCTGCGGTGAATACACCAAGCCTATACAAAACGACCGAGACTGCATAGATAAATGATGTGACTGTTGTTTATACAGCTGGCATAGGTACAAGAATAAATGACGTAGGTGATGCGAGGATACTCAAAAAAAAATAAGCTAAGATGACCAGCTGGTTCTGAATAAGCTGTGCTGATACAGTTTTTATAGTAATCAGATAAAATTATTCCGTTATTAAGTTAAAAAAATAAGTAGGTGATATTATTTCAATCCAATCAAGATAATTTTAAATATAGGTCTAAAATCGGCCGACTTTCAAGGTTATACGATTTTATTTACCTTTAGCAAACTTTTTAATTTAAAAAAATATTCTGAATATATAACCAATATTTTATTTTTTTAAATTAATAATTATTAATTAATGGCTCTACAAATTTGAATTTTATAACGTAAAAGGCCTACCTTCCTGAGATATACACGCGGATTTTTAAATATAGATATTAATTTTATATTGTGACTAAAACGTCAAGTTATAAACCAAGGCCAAAAATTTAATTTTAATTTATTTTAAAAGTATCCTTACAGTGAGTGAATTATTGACATGGCAAAATTTGAAAACACTTCAGTGAGTGTCCGGTTGAGATCGGAACTACGAGCCACTCGCTAGGCCGTTATTTCTGAGGACCGCGGTTCGGAATCCGGTAAAAAACATATTTTGGACCTATTTAAATTACCTACACTATTAAACATCTTCTTAGTTTCCGGAAAGATACTTTCGCGGCACAAAAATATAATACGTTATATTATAATGTATATAATAGTCTCACACCACACTAGAGCAGGTTCACAAATCTAACTGATAACAGAACATCCATTTGTTGATTCTAATTCAATAATAACTTAATCGACCACTAAATTGATATCTTAACTTATGTGTGCTTGTTTATCGGCGTCGTGATGTTATTTACTGTACTAGTAACCTGCGACCAGGATTTTTCTGTTTATTTTTTTTTCTGATTGTTCAACATCGATTGCTATTCGAACACTGAGTTTGCGATTTTGCTTGTGCCACAGGTATGTTATCAAAGAAACATTATTAATGTAAATGGAATTCAGTTAAGGTGAGTTACGACGATAAATTGATGAAAAACAGAGTGGTCAACAAATCTAATCTATTTATACAGTGTGAGTGTTTATATTATTCAGAATACTGAAAACGTGAAAACGCTTTCTTTACATTTTTTATGAATTTATAACGCATAAGAGACTGAGCAGTGAAGCTGCTAGATTTAATAATACTTTATAGTCCAAGAAAATAGGCCTTCAAATACGAAGTTTTGGTAAAATATTGATTCAGGGTGACCCAGAAATAAGTGCAAGTATTTTAAGGGCTCGAACTCACTGACGACCAGGTCGCAACGACCTGGCCGTCGGCTGGCCGGATGTATTGCGTTTTTAGCTGCGGCCAGATGAACGACCAGTTTCAAGAGAGTTGTCAAATCTAACGATTTTTTACGTTTTATCAATTAGAAAATAATGTTTCAGAAATGTTAAAATATCCGAGTTAACTAAAAAGCAAAGTTGCTATTCACAACAAACAAAAAGCATTGTGTACGCGCTACCGACAAAAAGGGTGATATTCTATTTCTTTTTTCTACTGATATGGCGCCCTTATCGGCTTTAGAAGTAAACATATTAGGGCCATCGTAAATAAAGATCGTCAGACACTGGCTCTAAATATAAGCAGGTAGAAAGTTTAGCTTCCAGTTATTTCAATGTTTACAATATAACGAAGAATCTACAACAATTAATTACTTCAATTTTATAGATGTTGCAGTTACTTTCTTAATTTTTTTCAAAATAAATGTACCTAGTAGAAATATAGTCTATTGAACCCTGTTTGAAAAACGTTAAATTAAATATAATATTTAAAATACAGTTGTCCCTCTTGTACATTACTACAATACAACTAAAATACTAATTTAATAAAAAACAATTTTTTTTTTTTTTAAACTTTAAATATTATTTTTTTTATTTTAACAACAGAAACTCAAAGGTATAATAACAGGTAACATACCAACCATAAATAGAGTAGGTATGTCATGTAAAAATGTTTTGAATTTACTAGAGATCGACCATATTCAAAAAAAAAGGAGTTAGTTTGGTTTACCTTTAATCAGTCTGTATACTATTTCTTTGGATTTTCTGCACCTGTGCAAAAAACTACATAAAATACTATATCTTATGAAATAAAATATAATTGCCTTGAATTTGAAGGATTTCATCTGAAAAATTTATTTAAAATTATTAATTTGAAAGAAAACCGGCAACAAGCGGCAGAAAATAATAATATTTCCGTGCAGTCTTCTGGTCGCAACGACCAACGGACGGCCAGGACGTTAGTGTGCGCTATATCATTTGATTTAATGGTTTTAGAGGTAGCTGCGGCCTGGCCGGTGCGACCTGGTCGTCAGTATGTTCGAGCCCTAATAGTATAGGAGCTGGCAAACATTGAGGTGAACGATATTTATCAAAATTTTCACCTACATGGTCTAATTATACATGGTATAGACAAATTAAAATCGACCGTCTGCCGTTTCAAAGTGACAGCTTTAACTAGGGGGATGCAGTTAAAAAAGGGTGGTTTTAAGATTTGGTGAACAATATTGATCAAAACTCATATTCACTCACTTAAAGAAACAACTTCAGAATGTGCCGAAATCACGTGAGCAGACGATTTATTTGACAGCTTAACCCTGGCAGACGCCTGTCAAAAGTGGCATATTTTACGGTAAAGTGAACGACAATTATTACACATTAATTTTGGTGGATGTATTCCCCTATTAGTAGGTTAACTAAAAACCATATGGCAGACGAAATATTTGACGGCGAACACCAGCGTAGCGAGGTGCTGTCAAGTATTTTAACTCACTCTTATTAAATAATATTTATAATCGTTTAAATTGGTAAAATAGCATAAAGTACAAGGGTATTTTTTTTAATTTAAGAAAACGAACTGACCTATGTGACGAAAGCAACTTTGGCAGACCCTTGTCAAAGTGACATATTTTACGCTAAAGTGAACCAAAAGTATTACAAATTAATTTTGGTGTGTGTATTCCAAAGGTGTATTCCCTTATTAGTACGTTAACTAAAAACCATATGGCAGACGAAATATTTGACAACGTTTCTTGGCGAACCTTTATCAAAGTATTTCAAGTTCACTTTTGTTATTAAAAAATTAAAACCTACTCAAATTGGTGAACTAAATATTAAACAACACAGTGAAGTAACATTTTAAAACATTTTTGTTGAAAATTGGTTAGGTTTGGTGTAGAAATAAAAGTAAAAGTAAAATAAATGTTATTCTTTAACTAACATGAAACAGGATTTTTAAACCATAATAAAATCAGTCCCTCGTTTGTATTCATTAACAAAACCTAAGAATACTTCAACAAACCTAAAATTATTATTAAAAATATATAACAAAGAATATATTCTATAAATGCGAATCTAGTTCCCCAAGTATTGTAAAAAGCACATTTCTTAAAACTATAAAATGCTATAGTTTTGAAAGGATACAAAAACATCCCACAATATCAGTCTCCATTTATTATTTTACAAGGTAACCTCTAAATAAGAGAGAGAACTTCAACAAATCAACAATGCAGCATCATTCTAAAAAACATTGCTTAAAACTATAAAGGAAGGTTTTAAAATATTGCAAGTAAGCCTCCCATTTTTATTCTTTCGCAAATAACCTTTCGTAACCTAAATAAGAGGGAGGGAACTATAACAAATCTTAACGTATTTATCTAAATAAAAATATATCCTCTACAAATGAATCTAGTTGAAACATCGTTTCCAAAAATATTTCTTAAAACCAAAACAGGATATGTAGTTATATCAAAGACTAATAAGTTCCCAAAAGGAAACTTGTTTACCTAAGATTTCAAAATACAAAATATGTCGTTATTTAAGAAATCTCCTCGTCACTTGATTCAATCAAAATTGCGTCAGCGTCCCCGTCGTCGTCACTTTCGTTAGTTAAATCAGATTTATGTAAAATATCACCAAGTTGAACGGGCGTTTGATGCCCTTCAAACCTAACTTATATCAGATTTATTTCCTTCAGTATCCAACCATTATTTAGTCGATCGTAAAATTTTGGAGTAGCTTTGGTTGCATTCGTCCAAATTGCAGCAATTTGGTTGGTCCTTCGAATTTTTTGCAATAATACTGATTTGCAGGGGGGAAAGTTTTGAGCATTAAAATGTTACTTTAATAAAACTGGATTTTTTTCATCAGAAAAAATATCAATGCATCCATAAGTTTTAATAAAATATTCCATTCTGGCCTTATCTATATCCTTTAAATTTGGTTTTCAGTATAAATTGCGAACATAGCCTTCCAGAGTATTTAATGTTTCCTGAGGGATGTCTTTAAATGGCTTTGACCCCAATGACGCAAAAGCAGCTTGAGTTTGATTGCTATATATTTTTTAATATTGCAAAAGGTTTCTTTTTTCCTTTGTCATAAAATGAGGCTTCGTAATCACAACCACTAAATGCATGGAATGCTGGTAGTGCTTGGCTTAGAGTTGATCCTAAAGAGCCCTGTATCTTTGTAAGATTAATATATCTTATCGAATTATTCGAAATTTGACCAGTTTCCATCCAAACAAGCTTATTTTCTTTTTTAAATTGGTCAACATGCGCTAATGCAATAACTGCAATATCTGTATCTGAAGTTCGTATAACTCTATTTTTGCAAACAGTTTTTGTTATATGAAACAACATTTTAGTATCGGCCTTCTATATTCATGCTCACAATAGTGCTATTTCCTTAATAACATGTTCGTTTTTCTGATAAAATTTATAGCAATGATTATCAATCAACTATATTATATTGATTTATCATTAATTATAGGGTAATAACAGTTATTTTTTCCCACTCTTCAACAAGATATGTCACAAGCGCTCCTTTGATCATCTCACACACTGGTTAAAGGTCTAGTATTTAATATTTTATAACTCTTGATTTTATGTTATTATAACATGATTTTATCCATTTACAGTTTTCCTTCTAGATACGCCTGTGTTCTGCAATGTCCATATATGTTTTATTTGTAATTTTATGACGTATTTTTTTTTTGAATTGATTTGTATTGTATGACATATTTTGTATTATTTGTATATTTGTTGTTGTGCTTTTTTTGTTTTGCTTTGTCGATGAAGCTGTTTTGGCTTTTTGTACAATAAAGCGTTGTTTTTTTTTCCTGCGACCTGCTCAAAGTTTTCCTGCCTCAAAGATGCTAAGAAATTAGAAGGCCGTTTTTGGTTAGGTCCATTGATAACAAAGTTTTCTTCTCGAAAAACTGAGGTAGCTCTTCGGTCCCGTTCAATATCTTTCAAGGAAGGTGTTACGATTTTATCAAAAACCTCGTCAAAAACTAAATTTCCAGCTCATTTCCTTGTAAAGCACACAATTTAGCTAAAATAAATCTAGCTAGAGCCTGAAATGTTGTAGGAGGTTCCTTGAGGAGATGTAAAAAAAAGAATCCGTCAACAATAATTGAATCAATCAAAGGCGGATCTTCGGGATTCGTATCAAAGCTTTCTATAATGTGTAATAGATTTGCTTTATTTGTCTGGCGTCAAAGGGTAACTAAGAACCAGCTCAAGATCGATTTTATTATCAATTGAAAGCAATAACATCCTGCTAAATAAGTCTCTTTCCAGTTTTAATTCACAAATGGAATTTTTTTGACGAAGCGTATATTTTACCCCTTCGTTTGCGAAGGTTTTGATTTGAATTTTTTTGATCGGCTTCTCAAATCTCGTGATGCCGATGGCACATTCTTCTATAAATTTAGAGGGAGAATTATTTCCATTTTCTAAAATATTTAACAAAAACTCTTCAGTCTTTATGTCAGCAGCTTTTCCGGTTGCAATGTTAAAGAGATGGTCGCTATCAAAATTTTTAAAACAACCATTCATAAATTCTCTCTTAAAGTTGGGATATTTATTTTCGAATTTCAGAAGATTGTCGTGAAACTTTATTGTCCACCTAGAATAATTAGGCTGATTAAA